CAAATCCAGCTAAAAAAGACTCATTATTACCACAGCGTTTTTTTTTTTTTTTTTTTAGCATACGTTTACATTTGGATATTATTTATTTATTTTTAATAGAAAACATTGCGAAATTAAACTTTAAATTTCGGAGAATTGGCAACCAGTTACCCGAACGAATTCTCCGATAAACTCCCAATTTTTGGCAAAAACTAAACTCCGAAAATCACTTTTCGAATTTGACGAAAAATAAACTCGGAAGACACGGTATCACAAATATAGGGCGCCTAAACAAACTCTCTTCGTTTTAGTCAGAAGTACCGCAAGTCATGGGTGGTGCTATCACGAAGTGGACAGTCCTGAAGCAGTCATGAATGGAGCAGACTCAAGCAATCTGAATGCCCTTCATTGAATCCCATATCCGCGAGAGGGCTCATTGTGCCGCGTGTATACGCTACTTTCACGTAGACATGTGTGCGCTGCGATAAACGTGCACATATAGCTGTCAACAGGGACCGAGAGAACAGAGATAACGAACAATAGCTGGAAGCAATCAACAAGTATGTAGATAAGGATCTAGACGCAAGGTGTAGCCGCACAACATACCCTCTTGTCGCAGCTATTCCAGCCCAATACATGGCTCGTACGTGACATCCTCGGACCGTACAAATGGTCGTTCCTTCTTGTTCTTGCCGTGAAGAACAAAATTCGCTGGTGGCAAATACAGCATGAACTACCCTCTGCAGAGGGTAGTTCATGCTGCAGAGGGTAGTTCGCAATAGCGAGCGCTTCCTTCTTATTAAGAGGGACCATGAAATTATTTTTCAACTTCTTCTTCCTTAGCTTCCCTCCTCGGCTGAAAAGCGAATGAAGTGATCACGTGGTCCAAATAGTCCTCGACGCATTGACTATTGCCGAGCGCATACGTCCGAGTGACGAGGTGCACGAGTCCAGTGCGTGAGCTGGGATGGGCTGAAGTGCTTGGACACCGCGGATGCATCACAGCGAAAAGGCGGAAAGCTTTCGAAGGAAAGAAGGGAAGAAAATAGTCCGCTATATTTTTTTTCAAATTTTCGTACCGAAAAGCAGGCTTATGGCTTTCTACCCTCGTGTACTAGTTAAGTAATCGCAAATAATTGTTACAGCAAACTACACCGAGTTGACTTAACTTTAATAACAATGTAGTCGGACGTTTCGTCTCCCACGCGGGAGACATCATCAGTGCGTGTTCAGGGTCGCGCACCGCTGTACTGTACTGCTCTCCTTCGTGTCCCTGAACAAGCACTGATGTCTCGATTAAATTGTTAATACTGTTACGTCAAGTCGGTGTACTTCTCTTTATCATTACGAGTCCCGTCTCTTGGAACATTTTTTAATGTTTGCAGCGAAAAATGCTTGGTACACGCTAACTGCCCTTTCCCAAAGCAATTTTGGAGGAACAAAGAGTCACTCTTCATCTAGATGACGTGATCGACGACTTTTTGAGGACTGGAAGGGATACCAATCACTCGTGTTGTCCACAGACGCCTTGAACTTGGGACTGAGGGGGGGACCAGCCTCTAAAGCCACTGTACTTCACCGGCCAGCGTACCCAGAAATTATACGGCTTTCCTCGTTCCGCCTGGTCGCGCTCTAACGAGGAAGCTTCGGTTCCGACCGCTCCAGTTCTGCTGCACGCGCTTACCGGAAGTAAACTTCACCAGGAGAAACAGTAGCCGGAAGCAGGCTTTTTTTTTTTTTTTTTTTGCTCGCGTTTTCTTTTTTTTTTTTTTCTTTTTTGTTTTGTTGTTGTTGGTTACAGCTTCCTCCGGCACGTCCACGGATGTTCAGAACGCGACACACTTTGCGAAGTGTGTCAGTCTAAATCGATATGCTTCTTTTCGTCCTGAGCGATTCCTGACAGGGGAGCACGACTCCCGCTAACGTTCTGTCATCCGAGTAAGAGACAAGCACATGTTCCGTGCACGGTTATAAGAGCGGAAAACTGAACCGGCGAACCGGCACGGTCAAGTATAGGCGGAAATACATAGACACGATTACAAGCAAATAATAAAATAAAAATAAAAAAACTAAAGTTGCGGTGACATTGTTGATACCATACAAAAAACAGTGTGCAGTCACTGTCTGAGGGGTGTTTCTTCCTTTCATGCCGTCACATTGGTCATACAAAAACTGTCTCTAGGTACGAGGCAGACGTGCTCCCAACATATGCGTTCGGCTTAGGCTAGGTAGCGTAAGTTACCACCCCTTACAAAGGGTATAGCCATTGACGTCCATCCATCCGCAGATAATTTTGTCATCACGTCTGCACCGAACGCCGTGCCTGTTGTACGAAAGGGTCGGTTTTAGATGCTGTTACCCAGATATGTGTCCGACGTCTCTCAAACGACGTCCGATGCAAACCTAGAAAAATTTAGGCAGCGCGCAGGTGATATCGGCGGCACAGTAAAGGAACTGACCCGGACTAGAAAAAACCTGCACTCGTCGGCTGTAAGCAGCGAACGTAAATGTGAGATCCTAGCGGAACAATGGATCTTCTTAATGGCCGATCAATTACACACATGAGTGAAAAGCTATAAAGCGATGAAGCGAGCTTCGGACGCATACACCTAAAATCAATAATTGTGTTCTAAAAAAAGAAAACGGGATTGGTACAAACGTTAATTCCCCAATTACCATCTTCAAGCGAGAATTTTCCTTAAACCAGAATTCAAGACAAACGAGCTGTGGGACTGCAGATATGTTTTCCTCAACTAACATTTGTTTTCACCTGTCCACTTCGAAGCTCTTTGTCCAGCCTGTCGAGCATCTCACGATAAAACGCGCCAAAACACGCGTGTGTTTGAAGAGTGCTTCTGAACACAATCAAGGAAGGATACAAACTTTCAAAGCAACAGAAACACTTTAACGTATCGCAGATATAAGTGAAAGGAAATGAACGAGAAAGCGACCAGTATACTAACAGTTTATTGAAACCACTCTGAATACTTTCCGGTGTTCAGGTTCACACAGTGCTTGACAAAACAACGCCTTTTAACAAAATGGCCATCCTCGGTGTATTTCGACGAAACCTTGTTTAACGAACTGTCAACGGAGTGTCACTACTAACGCCTTGCTTTCTACTACAACGCGCCGCGCAAATCTCCATTGGAATAGCAATCCTCTCGTCGTAGGCATGCAGTCGTATCGCAGGCGGTCACGCTCAAACGCGAATGCCTAAACCATCATTTTAAGATGTACTATCGCGGATAATATATGGGCTGCAACAGCTCATCCTTTTATTGTTTAGAACTTGCCGTAATCATATCGTAAGAACTTCGCGCGGCGTATAAACAATGCAAAAAAAACTTTTTTTTTTCTTGAAATGAAAACGATTATACAGCCAGTGAATAATCTACGCGTAGAGAAGCGGCATTCCATTCCCCGATTTTCTCGTAGGCGCCGCCATCTTGGTTAAAGAGCGGGCTCCACTGCCGATTGTGACGATTCGAAATTGCGATATTCTGAGCCTTGACGTCAGGAATTCCAGCGCGACGTCGTATTTTCCTCAATCGCGGACTGCTTTTAACGTTTCTGGAGGACGAAAACCAGTTACGGCGGCTATTTGAGACACAGTTTCAGATAACAGGTAACAATGACTTTAAGCACCAAGATGGCCAAAATGTCGCTACTTTGAAGCGTGTATATATATATATATATATATATATATATATATATATATATATATATAGTTCATTTACTGCCTCCATACTCCGTTTTACTCAAAGTTCGACCGCGGATGACGCCATAATCCGTTTGAACCAATCACAGCGCAATTACTGCGCGTGACTGGTTCAGCCGGCGATGGCACGAAGACAACCAGCACTGCGACGACGCTAGCAGTCGTATACGGCACTTGTTCTCACCGACAGCGAGGCTGAGGCTGGTTAACTTCCCACTGTCTAAACAAACACACACCAAAATTACTTTAAAAAAAAACAATAATCAAAAAGCCAGTTGTCCTTTTCACTTTTTCCTTGCGTGCCTTTTCCTCATACACACACAGAAGTTTTTGTTGTTGTTGTTGCTGTACTAAACGTGGTACGGGTCAACGGGCGAACCTCTCCTGTGTTCTCTTTCGCGTCAATGGTACGAGCCAAGGAGCTAAGCAGCACGGCCGAGAGGCGACGAAACGCTTCGTGCTCTGAGGTCACTTTGACAGTAGCTCTATATAGGCACCACTTTTGAGCCAGCGCGCTCGACAAGACTACGATTCCGCGCCAAATAAATATTACGGTCTCGTTTTTTCGTATCCAGCGGAAGATTTTTAAAAGGCGGTGCCCTCGGACAAACTAAGGGCCCTCCCCTGGGAGGTGGGTAGGGAACTCACTGTTGAGGTGTGCTCGCAGAAGCGGACACCGTGTTTTTTTAAACGGTGTATGAGCAGTGGGAAAGCGGCTCTAAAGCGAAACCAAGTATTGTCACGGGTGGTGACCAAAGAAACAGGAAATAAACAGGAAGAAATAAACATTTAATGTGGCGAACTTGTGCCAAAAATAAAAGGGTACAAAGATAATAACAGAGCGTCGCGGGCGTCGAAGTCGGCGTAGCAGGACAGTCGAACGCTGGGGCGAAAACTGACCCCGCTCGCCTTGCGGAATCCCTTATGTACCCTCGTGGGTTTCTGGATCGTTCGGCGTAGAAGGTTCGGCGCGTAGAAAATTCTAACCTCGAATCAGCAAGACGGTTCTTGAATTCACCAGAACATCAAATTACACTGTCAACAAAAATGTGTAGCCGCGGCCAGGAATCGAATCATGGCCTTCTGCGTGGGAGGCAAGCGCGATAACCGTTAGGCCACGCGCGCGCTGCCTACTTGGCCAGCTGCGCGCGCGGCAGTATAGTCTGAACCAGATTAGAGTCGTGAAGCCAGAGTGCGTCCCTCAACAAAGAGGAGGAGCTCTGGCAGCAGAAGTGCAGTTGCCTCGAGCAACTCCACCGCGGGAGTTCTTCGTGTTCGACGGGGGGTCTCTTTCGCGCAGGAGGGTCCCTTCCCCTGGAGTCCCGGCACGCAGGGCCTGGTGCTGGGCGCCTTCTTCTACGGCTACACGCTCACCCAGATCCCGGGGGCCTTCCTGGCCGAGCGCTTCGGCGGCAAGTGGCCCTTCGGACTGGGCCTCCTCTGCACCGCCACCATGACGCTGCTCACGCCCATGGCCGCCAAGGCCGGGGCCCACGTGCTCGTCGCCGTCCGCGTCATCGAGGGACTCGGCGAGGTACGGGCGGGCCCGGTTTCGGACCCGGAACTCAACCCCTCCTCTACTTAGTTTCACCTTAAGCCATAGCCTCCTCTATACTCACAAAACCTGGCAGTTCGACGACGGAGACATAAAGTGCCCGGTCGCAGATTTGGAGCGCGAGGATCTGGTAGCACAGAGCATCAAAAAGCCATTTTTCGGGGAACCTGTACGTCAGCGCACAGCATTTGCAGCGGCGGAGACCCGAAGCACACGTCTTCGCTCGGGAGAAATGTGCCTCGGCGTCTCGCCGCAGCGGGGCGCCGGTCACGTGGCTCTCCTCTTATCCGTTGTCTGCCGCTCCACCTTTTCTATTTCGGCGACCGCTCCTCGTGACGGTCTGCCAGGCTTTGTCAGTATATATGAGGCTATGCTTAAAGAGGGGGTGCAACGATTTCCGGACTTTTGTCAAAAATTTCTGGAAGTTGCCCTCAGACACTGAAGTAAAGATTTCGCCTGCGTGTCCTAGTTGTGTAAAAAAAAAAAAAAAAAAAAAAAGAAATACTGGCATTTCTGGCACCCCTCAGCTCACTCCCAGTCTTCACGTTCATACCTGGTCGCACTCCTAGTGACGTAATTCGGGGTGTAGTTTAGGTTCCCGTGTGCTCCCTCGGAGGATGCTTACTCTCCCTCTCTCTGCTGACAATAGCGGGCGTCATGCCGCAGCTTAGAGCCGAGCGAGACCGCGTAAGCTTCTCACCGTAGTTCCTTCGGCTGCCACTCGCGGCTGCAGGTGGGCGAAAAAAGCTCGACTTTTGCTTTGCGATTATGCAGCGGAATCGCGACATTTTTTAAAAAAGAGGATGTTTTCTCTGTCCTCAGGGACACGATAAACAACTAAAAAATAACGAGGTGCAAATTCTTTTGATCTTAAAATCCTTGCACCCCCGCGTGTCGACGCTACAAGAACTGCAGCGTCACGTCATTCGTCATCTTTCTACGTGTACGCTATCATCGGTTCGATTCATTGACCGCGGTGAGTGCACTATGACCTTGTGTTTTCAGTGCGATTGAGTGCGTACTTGTGCATGGCCTAGCCTTAACTACGCCTGGGTGTATGGTGAAACTTAATAGATGTATCAGTGCCGCAGCCTCGGACTTTCTACGTCACTAAGCGGAGGCCAGCACGACACGCACATTAAAGAGGAGTGCTGTATCAGTGGCGGCTTGGGCGCGTGCGCCGGTTGACTCGTGTCAATCAGGATGTCCAATCTGTCTCGCACTGCCCTTCACTAAGTGACGCAGACCGTCTACAGGGCTGTGGCCCTGTCAGATAAGAGGTGTCCGGTATAAGCGGACCGGAACAAGATTCAAGTGAACGCCGTTCCTCCCCCTCTCTGCCTGTTACGTGCAGGGGACCGCGAGAAAAGCGTTATTAATTTAGCAACACTTGAAAACGAGCGTGTTGGTTAATAGATACAAAACTTGAAAGTATAAAACAGGAAAGATATCCTGTTTCCGTCCTCGTCCTCTCTGTTTTATACTTTCAAGTTTTTTTATTAATTTAGCGAAGCTTTACATTACGTCTTAGTTCGTTGTCTGCGCTTCAACTGGCTTCTTTCGTTAGCGTCGTTCAGCACACTCAGCACCTCCCTCGCAGAAGGGGGTTCACCTAAAAACAGAAAGTGTGCGCCAGTTTCTGCGGCTCACGTAATGACTGCCCACCACCGGGCGGTGTTGGTCAGCGCGGACGACGTTGCGATGTTGGACAAAGTGCGGCGAAGGCTCCCTTGCGACTTTAGTATGCCTGTAGTGGCCCAAGGTTTTAATAATATCCCGCGAGCGTCGTCCTGCGGGCCGACCAGCGCCGTGCCGCGCAGTGGTGCGGCGATATGGGAGATTAGGCGCGTGCGCACAAAGCTCTTTCCGGTGCGAGCGGCGTCGGCTGGGCTATTCCGCAAGCACCGAGAAGTCGCTCGCCTAAATGCCGCTCAAACATTTGGGGTTTTTTACGTGCCAAACCAACGGCGGGCATCTGGCACGCCCCAGCGGAGGACTGAGGATTAATTTCGACCACCTGGGGATCTCTTGACGTGCAACCGAAAGCTCGGTTACACGGGCCTAAATGCCGCTCGACTCGGGGAAAATTTTCCTGGATAGGAGCTTCCTACAAGTAGCGACATTCTTTGAAGCGTTTACTCCGTGACGGTGCAGGTTTTAGGAAGCGAATGGCGGCGCGCAGCAGAAGAATGAACTGAATGACGACATTTTGTTCCAGCGGAATGTGCTTCGTCATTTGTACTGGTTGCCGTTACTTGTAAACATAAGTGTCGAGGGACCCGTTGACAACTTTCAGAAAGCCGAGACGAACAAGATTTGAAACTCATCATCCAGGCTCCGACAGCGGGGAAAGTTGCCGTGTTGCACCGCACGCGTCAAGCTTCGTCGCTTCGCATCGGCACTCGTGCGTGAAGCTTCCCCACTTAACATCGGTGCGCGCCCGCGTCAAGCTTCACCGCTTTGCACCGGTGCGCTGGGAGAAGCGACTGAGGCGGGGGAGCACCTCGGTTAGCTCGATGGGATCGGAAATACACGATCACGTCTGCCCTAATTTTAAAGCTCAGCGCCGAAACGTCGACCCATATTCGAGAAATTGCGATAATTAAGAGTGTGCAGAACTGTAACATACGTGAAAAGAAAATGCAGAGTTTCTTCTGTGCATTAAAAGAAACAAAAAAACATTGTAGTATTGTTTGGCTTGACCAATGAGCGCTCGATAGCTTTTTCCCTATTTGAGAACCACTGTCCCAGAGCAGAGAAACATTGGCCGCTGTCTTGGGGGTTCGGTCTAGAAATGTCCTTGTGTTTTCAATTTTCGAGTACTCTTATCAAAGTCACCTCCCAGCTGTTGCTACCCTTCCTAAAACATTTAGCTGTGTTCCTAGCCACATCCGCCTCATAATGCCACTATATATTTCCTGTCCTATTTGAGAGCTCACAGAGAAAGGCTAACTTGCATACACACCGCTACACTGTTAGTGCGAACAAGCCATCGCCAGTTTTCTGTTCTTCACTGAGTACTGAAGGGCTCTCCCCAAAAATACTACAATGGTGGGCAGTGCTCAGTTGGGGTACTAACCTAAGGTGCTAAATTGTCATGCCTGCCACCATCCTTCCGAAGTAAAATGCGAAAAAGCGCAGAAGTCATGTTCGCACCAACAGTCACGCAGCCCGACAAATGTTAGCAAGCAATCGCCGTTTTTGTTTTCTGCGTTTTAGAGCGCAGCTTTTAGGCGCCCGTTTCTGTGTTTCGCGGCGTCGCCGTCGGCGTAACTGCGCTAAATTTAGCAGGAAAACTGACGTCACGTGACCTCAACACCAGTTCAATTCCCCGCTAGATTTGGCGGGGGAATTGACGTCACATGACCTTAATAGCAATTCAGTTCCCCGCTAAATTCAGAGGGGAATCGAATTGCTGTTGAGGTCACGTGTCGCCAATTTTCCCGCTAAATCTAGCGAAGAAACTGAATGTGTTCATAGGTGACGTGACACCAAGTCATGAGACGTCCTTTTCCCCGCTAAATTTAGCGGGAAAACTGCCACTGGTGTCAATTTTCCAACTCAATTTAGCGGGGAAACTGTGGGAGGAGGGGAGGGTATGGAGGAGAGGCCATGCCATCCCCTCTTCCTCCTCAAGAGCTGCGCTCTAATTTCGCGTTACAAAAATTTGTAAACGTCTTTCATTTTTTTTTTTTTTTTTTTTTTTACTAAGCCGCTAAAAGTTAGCTCGTGATTCGCTAAAGCGTGCTTACCCCCTCCCCCTTTTTTTTCTCCTCTCTCTCTCCCCTCGTAAACAAGTTGACGCAAAGAGTTCGTTTCGAAAACAAACTTCCTCCTGTGTTCGACGAAACGTCGCAAGGTGTGTCGGTAGAACGAACCCGGGAAGTTTTTCGATGAAACGAACTGTCGATTAAATTTCGCATGTCGACGAAACAGTTTGTCGGTGAAACGTTGTTCGACAAACTGATTGCCACCTGAGCCCAAGTGCTAAATACGGCCTATGCCGCGGTGTTGCGCGTCCGCAGGGAGTGACATATCCAGCCATGTTCAGCATGGTGGGCAGATGGGCGCCGCCACATGAACGGGGATCCCTGCTGGCCGTCGCTTACATCGGCTCCAACGTGGGCGCCATCTTGGGCATGCCCCTGACGGCACTCTTCTGCGACACGCCCGGTCTCGGCTGGGAACCAGCCTTCTACGTCTTCGGTGAGCGGAAACTCTATTCGTCCAAACTGATCGTCACTATCGCATATTGGGGCCCCTCGGCACTTGGGAGCGGCAAGACAATGCAGCCATTCTCTTCTTACAAGGATGCCATTACCGTATTTGCTCGAGTAAAAGCCGCACTTATGAACAAGGCCCTTTCGTCCACTTTCCTGCAGAAGACACATACAGCCAATCATCGCGCTCTGCAAAAAGAGAGGAAGGAAGAAAAAAATGCATCGAATAACGAGGTTGAGAACGCGATTCTCCCAAAAATGTGATCTGAGCAGCATTTTCGCGTAGAAGGCGTTATACGTGTCCAGTAAATCGCTGCCATTTTTCTGCTGATCACGGTTAATTCGCCATTCCCGTGCTCTGCGAGAAAGCAGACTGACGGGCTTTGTTCGCAAACAACGCGGCCATTACTCGAGTAAATACGGTACGTATAAACCTATGAGTGTGTCGACATCTGTTGCAACGGGGAAGGGTGTCGTGTTCATTCGGTAGTTCTTTAGATAGTTATAGGAGTGCGGCTAAACGTTTGACCAAAAATTCTATCAAAAAAAGAAAAATGGCGCTTTTTTTTATTTATTGCTCAAACCGTTATGCGCGTTCAATGAGGCACACAACCTGCACTTGTCTAGTTTCGGCCTTCCTAGCACGCGCCGCCGCGTCTCTGCAAAGCGTCGCCTCATCCTTCTCTCGTACCTCTTCCTTGTTTCCGAACGCTCTCGGCAGCTGGACAATCCTGCTACCTTCTGCTGCGCCACGCGGTGCGTGCCTCATTCGATGCTTCAATGTCAGTTCAGAGTATAGTCAGTAGACTTTAACACTGATCGCGTTCGGTTCTAGGGGCCGTGGGTTGCGCTTACTTCGTAATGTACGCATGGCGCGTACGGAGCGATCCACACGGGGACCCCTGGATCAGCGACGCCGAGCTGGAGTACATCTCGCGATGTAGGGAGACCCTGGGCCCCGAGGATCCCAAGATCCAGCGGGTGCCCACGAGACCCGGACCTACCCCCTGGGGCGCCATCTTGAGGTCGGGGCCCCTGCTGGCCCTCACCCTGTCCCGCTTCTCCTCCCTCTGGGGACAGTTCACCGTGCTCACGGGACTGCCCACCTACATGACGTCAGTCATCCACCTGCCCCTGGGAAAGGTGACCGCGCCATCCAAACAAACCTCTCACCGGGCTGAGGAGCCGTCTCTGCATTCGAGCTGCCATCTTTTTTTAGGGGGGGGGGGGGGGGGGGGGGGGGGGAGGGCTGTGTTCTGAGCATGCGCAGTGGCATAGCCACCTCTAAACTCACAAAGCCTGGCAGTTCGATGGAGTGCCTGGTAGCAGTTTTGGAACGCAAGGATCTGGTAGCACAAAGCATCAAAGAGCCATTTCTCGGGGGAACCTGAACGTCAGAGCCTGCAGCTTTTGCAGCGGCGAGGACCCGAAACAGAATTGTTCGCTCGGGAGAAATGTGTTTCGGCGTCTCGCCGCAGCGGGGCTCCAGTCACGTGGTTTTTCTCTCGTCTGTTGTCTGCCGCTCTACCTTTCCCATTTCGGTGGCCGCTTCTCGTGGCGATCTGCCAGGCTTTCAGAGGGTCTCATCTGCAGAATATCGGATGCCACGCATGCTTTCAGAGCCGTGACCCTGCATTTTTTCGCCAAAGTGATAAGCGAACGAAAGAGATGTTGACATCTTTCCATCTAAAGGCTCGTTCACACATTTAGGTGTGATTTCGTTAAGACTGCCCGAGTCGAGCTGTTGCTATGGCGACCCTTATGGCGAGCCAATGGGGAAGCACTATGCTGCATGACGCAAGGCAGCACAACGCGGTCGACGCAAATGTGTGAACCGTACAAAGGCAAAATTTTAGTGCCTATATTTTTTTTTTCTGTATACGTGGTTTTCTTTATGACAGCAGCTCAGAAACACCAGTCTTTACGAGTCTTTCGTTCGTAAACGCAAGAAAAGCAATTTTAAAATTAATGAAACGATTTCTCAATATGTACCACCTGGTAGTTGGGGGGGAGGGGGGCGGGGGGGCGGCTCGGCTCGTTGGAACGTCTCACGTCACGGGCCCATCAGTAGCAGCGCCACGGCGCGGCGTGTCCGAAGGAGGCCTCCCGGGACCGAGCGGCGCTTGGCACACCTCTCAGCTCTGTACACCATATCTTGGGTATTCCCGCTTGGCGGAATTGTAAAGCGTTGACGAAAAAGCTGCGCCACCTAGTGACAACGATAGTAATTACAGTACCCTTGACCGTTTATGAGCCCGTGACGTTACGAGCAAGACGTCGCGGGGCGCATCGCGCCGCCTCGATGGCTGATTTTGAAGCGCTCACCAGAACCCGTCGGTTGTAACGAAGGTATAGCCATTCGCTGAAAACGCAAGCGTATGATTATCATTTACGGATATCATGGATCATGTTACACCCGCGCAACACCTTTGGATGGGAAAAACACCTAAAGAGATATTTACTTCACGACCGCTTATCAAACAGGCAAAAGGTGCAGAGCCACTGTGCTGTGCACACATACGCGGAGTCTGATATTCTTCAAAAGAGAGCCAGGGCGCATGCTCAGAGTGGGTTCCACAGGCTAGATATGGCAGCGCCCAGAAGGCGACTATTTCTTTGCACGGACCTTGCTCTAGGCGTTTAGGCTTGGAATACCAGTGACTGATGCAGCAGTTATAATACGGGTGACAGAGACATGATGGCTCATGTGGTAAAGCTTCAAATGCCGAGGCTTCTTGCAGAAAGCCTTTACATATGCTCGTTGTATTCTGCTACTGGATGATGTTGACCTGGCTGCTGCACAAACTACAACTCTAATAAAAAAAAAAAAGATTCCAGTTTTAATAGCATCTCGAACTTGTGGGAAAGGAAATAGAACAGAGGCGTGTTCTGCATCAAAACTGCAATGAATTGTGGCCGGGTCACTTTGGTCATCTTGCTAACTTTAAATTGCAGGCATTCTTCGCTCTTGGATACTGGGGAAGAAGAGGATTGATTTTTTGAAAAGTGGCATCATTGTGTCAACGTCATTTTGGTATCATTTCTCTGCAGAACGGGCTGGTGAACTCCGTGATCTTCAGTGCCCAGAGTGTGGGCATGCTCATCGGGGGCTTTCTGGGTGATCACTTCCGAAAAAAGAGCTACATGCCCACAACTGCCATCAGAAAGCTGTTTCAAACGGTTTGTGAGTAATGGCTTTGAGTACAGTACGCTCTTCATAACTACTATGTTACCCGCTATACAATGTGCAGTTATCTTATATAGTGTTTGGTGGCAAGACTACTAAAATATAGGGCCATGGGGATACATGTTGGTCAGAACAAACTAGTAGCATTTAGGTTATCCACTTATTATACTGAGGAAGCATACATACGGCATTTCTGTCATAAATGAAGGCCAACAAGTACTACATCAGCATTAGAGTAACGGCTGTAAACCAAGGTCTTCTAGGCCATGTGCGGGCAATAAAATGTACAGTATTAACTCTACATACCATTTAACATTGCATTCAGGAATCAGTAGCTGCAGGTAATATTGGCAATATAATGTCCTGCGAGTTGAATTTTTCTAGCAACCAGTGAATGACCTTGCACTGCACAAGTTATGTGAACTTCATTGCTCAATTCCCACCCCTGCCCCTTTCGATCTGGATGAGCATTGTACCGGCGTGTGGTCGCGTATCAGTACTGCGAGATGACGCCAGGCTAGTGGTTGTACTGCACTGGCTAAATTGCTCATCTACAGCTGAGACACTAGACGCCCATTGAGGCTGACTAACTTCCGGCTGTATAAACATAAACACAACATTATTAACAAACCAAGGTTTTTCAGGAATCAAAATAAAAAAAAAAAGGTCTAAATTTTTTTTTTTTTTTTTGGGGGGGGGGGGAGCATTGAGATTAGAGGAGTCATTGCGAATTAAGGGGGTGCCTTCAGAAAAACAAGGGGGGGGGGGGGGGGGGGACGGGTGTATAGGGAAATCAGTGTTAACAACTTCATTGCAATTATGTAATTATGTGCCATTGAAAGATTGTGAATCTGCCATAATCACTGCATCAGTATTTATGTGAAATTGTGCTGAACCAGCACTAGAATAGGCACGTTGAAAAAAGACTGTGCCATTATAATATGACATTGATAATATGCAATGTTGGCCATAATGAGCCTATCCAGGGCGCTCTAGTCTCGCAATGCCAAGGCCTGTACTGTTTCATCCACGCCAAAGAGAAAAGTGCTAGTTTAGGGACAACCGCAGAAAGCAGAGCCACGCCCACTTGCTTCCCCTCTCTGGCAGCGCTTGTCGGGGCCGGCCTGGTATTGGCACTGGTGCCCTGGGCGGGCTGCAACCAAATGGCGGTATCCTCCCTCCTGGTGCTAGCCATGGGCATCTACGGACTCGCCGCCGGAGGTGTGACACCGGCCATCGTAGACATGGCGCCAGCATACGCAGGTCAGAGGCTCACGCCATCAGAGATGCACTAATATATACAGGGAAATGTATCGCACAGCTACAACAAATTTCAAATTTGATCTGTGTGCTGATGAAATCCACATGCATAGTCAGATCAGGTGGCCCAATTATCTTTCCTCCCCTGCTACGAGTAAGCAAGCGCTGTCATAGTCTACATGGCACAGATGTCAACAAACAGCACCATAGTTCCTTTTTAAATTTATAATTTTATGCAAAACAATGCAAAGAAATGGCATTTCCACTCTCTTATGAATTAAAAAAGAAATTATAGTGCCATTGTTCTAGTTTTAGTGCCATTTTTGCAGTTTTCATATCTTTTGACCAAAGGTATGTAATCGAAATAAAATCAGGCATCAGGCAACTGATTCTGCAGTCGCTTCATCATGCTGCTACGAGTTTAGACGGCTATTTTTACTTGAATGACTGGCAAGTTCTGCAAGCCCTACACAAGTAGCTGATGGCTTATGCAGCATTTTTTCATGCAGGCACACTTTATGGCATCTGTGGCACCATTTCAAATGCCTCTGGGTTCTTGGCACCCTTGGTAGTTGGCGTCATCACTACTCCAGTGGTAAGAGGTCAAGCATATAAGCATTTCTGTACTTTGCAGTTTCCGGTCAGAGTGCTTTGCGCGAGAAGCCTGGGCAAGTTCTACAGATCTGAAAGGAAACAAGCTAGCTTTCTTATGACTGGCAATGAGTAAAGTAATAAAAGGCACAGCTCAACTTGTTCGGCGAGTTCAAGGACTTCTTCAGTCTATTACTGCTCAAGAACCACTTCAGAAGAGGAGGTTAGGTTGAACTAACTTATGTAAAAAATATATGCTCAAATGAACCATATTAGTAATCATTATCCAACATTAGCAGCAGTACAAGAGCTAAAACTCCAGGTTATTATCTCAAAGCAAATCAAACACAGAATAGAAAAGCAGTAAAAGAATTCCGTTTCATCATTTACAGAAAATGTCATCCTTATACCCCTTTTCATGATAACTTGACGAACTGTGAGGGCTGTGGCCTCCGCGACCCAGTAAGAGCGTCGAAGGCATGTGACAACACTCCATGGTTGAGAGCACGGAGGCCTCGTGACCACTACAGCAACAGTGCTGTCCGCGCGCGGCAAAAAGTAGTTCTAGGCTTTTTCTTTTCTTTAAACGGTAATTGAACTTGCGTGATTCTATCTCTATCGAGAATGTAAGAAAAATAAGCAATAAATATTTACGAATTGAAGAGTTTCAATTATCTTTAAACCAAGATAGTGACAGGACCATCCGTATCCGCTCCCCATTTCTTTCCGAGAACATGGTTTTTGGACGGTGTTTGAACGATTGCAGCTGCGTAATCGACCGCTTCTGCTCAAAACATTGCACTGGCATTAGCACCCGCAACAGATTCGAGGGTACATGGAGTGTATGGTTGTCTCATGAACTGGTCCCAAAGAGCTCGCTACTCTAGCAGATGGCAATGTTGCGGTGGTGGACGTTCATTCGGAGTAGGCTGGTCTCGCAGCAGACGACTCTTGGCCAGCAGACGACAGCTGGTATAGCCGGTATGTGTTGTCACGTGCCAGAGATTTACCTTGTGCATCGCTCCGACGCTCTTACTCGGTCGTGGGGTTCGTAGCCTGAGTAGTTCGCCAAGTTATCGTGAAACGAAGTAGAGCATGTTGCTATGACAAAAACTTGCCATAGTACAAATGTTCATGTTGCCCCTCGAATAGGTGCAGTCATTTCAGGAATGTCTGCTATCTAAATACTAAGAAGAAAATATTTAAAAAAAAGTCCTTCAAGCATGCAGGACAGGAATGTCCTAGACTTTCACAATGGTTTATTCTGACCCTGAGCTTTCCTCACCAAAGAAAGAACAGATGCGCTCAGATCGTCTGCTCTACGGCGTGCGCTGGTTCGCCGATTTTATAAAGGAGCTTAGTGAAAAGGATCTTCAGAATACCGTCTGACAGGGGCAAGTGCAGGCGATCTGGTAAATCACATATATGACCAAAACTTGAGACTACGAAAGGAAGACACATAAGACTGTGCGTACGTTTGTGTTTTCTTTTTCTGTGTCTTCACTGAGGTTTTCGTCATGTCTTTCCCTGCACGACGTAGAGGCTACCTCCGAGCCAAAAAAAGTCTGTTTGCCTCTACAGCCCAGCTTGGCCAACTGGAGTGTGGTCTTCTACCTGACAAGTGCCATCTACCTGTGTGGGGCGCTGGTGTTCCTGCTCTTTGGCTCCGCCGAACTACAGCCATGGGCCAAGCCACAGGTCACCACATCCTCCCTCGCGGAACCGACGGACGGACGTTTCGAATTCACCACGAGTCTCGCCGAGAGCTTCCGCATGTTCTAGGAGAGTGTCGCCTCTACATGTCGGATTTCTATGCACTCGAGAGCACATGATGGGTGCTTAAACTAGGCACCAAGTTAAATAATAGGTATGGCCAGGCACACAACAAATCGGAACAAGTGAAACACCTTGCCACTCCTGTTTGTAAACGGGTGCCAGTATGAAAGTTAAATGTGTATGCGAGCGGTGAGAAAGCACATAAAAGATCCCTCAGAGAGACGCAGGCTCCTTCCGATGACAGCAGGCAGTGTGAACGTAGCGAGATGAATGCATCGATACATTCTAGTTTCCATTGCATACAATTATACGCCTGAAATCGACGACAGCCTGTGGTGAGGTGCAAGAGCCTATTATTGCTTGGGGAGGGACATAAGAAAACTATTATAAGAGGGAAAGAAATTTAATGGCTTCAAAGCAGCCGAGGTAGTGATGTACCAGGTATTTACGAATCCCGAGAGAAGCTCGCTGGTGAGAAGCTCACCGGAGATAAGGTCATCGGAGAAAAGCTCACAGGAGAAAAACTCGCCCACTTTTATGCGGGTCCAGAGAAAAGCTCACTAGCCTTTCTACAGACCTGGAGAAAACTTCACCTTGAATTAAATTATTACGTAAAGTGGTCGTTATCACTTCATAGAAGCAGTGCTACCAAGGTTTTAGGCGTCTTTCACGCAGGTGTTACACCGTACAACAGAACTAGTGCGAAGCTACTTTTCGCATCTTACTTAGAGAAGGGGTTGATCAGCGTCATACTTTTATTGCATAAATTTGTGCCTGGAATGAGCACTTTCCACCGCACAAGTAGCTTTGATAGCAACTGCTAAAATGTAAACAAAAAAAGTTCATCATTTGTTTATGTAGACAGTGTCACCCATTGTACACTTCACGCCAGGCTGTTCTGCTGTAAGGAAAAAATATTAAAAAAGGGTTATTAATAATGTTTTAGATTTATTTTATTTAAATCAGGCTAATATCACTGTAGCTGGAAAATATTGATTATTTATCACTATATGCATTTTTAAACATGGCAAATTGTCTGATCAATTCTTCTAATCAGTGAAAAAAAAAGCGATAAAAGGAACCACAAATGAACATGTTTTGTTCATGAAAACACTGCCATACTAGAACGAGAACAGCTTATTTTTTTGTTTGAAATAAAACTGTAGTGGCTTTTTTTTTTTTGCATTCTGATTTTTTTTGTAACACGACATTACTTTCTCAGTTTTCGTTTTTATCTTTTGCGTTCCGATTTTATTGAAAAAGATGTGACGTAACTGACGAACAAAGTTGGAGGTAGAAAGGAAGCTCAACTCATTGATTTGCTCCGAAGACCAATGCTTTTTATTCGTGTTCAGTCCGACATAAATCTTTCTTCTGTGACGATTCTTCGATTTAAATATAGAATTTATGATCAAATAGAAAGCATCAAAAACTAATAAAACAGGAAAAAATATTTTGGGATCATTCTTGCGGGCAAGGTGATTTTCATTCTCCACCCTGGCTGTAGCCCTCGGTCCACTTTTATGTCAAACCATTTTGCGCGAGTGTTACCATATTTAATTAAAGCATAGCCGGGATAGAGGAAATACAACCTTTCATTTTATTTTCCGTTTGAATAAGATAAGAACTGAAACCACTGTTTCTGAAACAAATGGTGAAATGTAGAGATTTGGCAATGTGGTGTCTGTATACTACATAAGGTGATTTCATAAATTAATATTCATAAATTAATATTCAGAAACTACTTAAGCTGCAGCTCCCTACGCTAGCTATATTTCCCCCCGTTATTTTTTTTCAAAAGTGTTCTATTGAAATTCTTTTTTTTTTTTTTACTTTACATTATTTATTATTTACATCAGGCAATGCCCGACGTGTTACAGGATGTTTTGAGTGAACGCATTTCACTTGAATGAATGCTCAATCCTTAGATTTGTAGGTGAGCTTTTCTCCGCGTGGGACAGTTTTATAGTGAGCTTTTCTCCAGTGAGCTTTTTTCCGCCGCCTGGTATTTACGGGGAAAAGAGGAGATGCTGTCTTCCACCAAGAATATTTTTCTTCTTCAATGTCTCCGAATGGGTTCCATGCAATACTACCATTTTAGACAGTGCTCTATAAACGACAGCTGACTTTGCTGCTATGTGCCTATCACTGAAATTGTGGTTCCTATTTTAGACACTTAAGATGGGCTTAAACGTCCATACTCTAGTCACCTCATAACCACTAAACGGTGTGCTCGACGACAACTGCATAAAGTGGGAAGGTTCTAATGATGAAAATAGTTCAACTCTTAGTGAAGTTGTATGTCTACACTGAAAGTGGTGTGGGAAGCCATTATGTACATATTAACCTCTCTGCACCATTCTACTTGTATCTAGAACATGTGTCATACAAACTTTCATTTCACACTGATATACCTACATTGAAAGCACTGCATTCTGGAAGAACACAAATATGAGCTGTTTTGAGTGTTATTTCAAGTTGGTCAAAATGTTAAAATTTCAACCCCCCTAGCAGATCATTTAATGCCACAATGAACATGCTCTGATTATAGTATTATTTAAATCATTGCATGGTCTCATTACCAGCAATGGCACAGCCAGGAATTCTTTTTCTTTTTTTTTTGGGGGGGGGGGGGGGGGGGGGGGGTGGCGGGCTGAGGTAGCTGGGATGCGCATGACTGGGGGTGCGGGGAAGGGGGCTGATCAAAAGGCATGTGCATAATTTAGGGTTAGCTGGATTTCGGGAGGGTGGGCTGAAGCCCCATAACCCCCCCACTGGCTACGCCTCTGATTACCAGTATATTTTGTCAGACTTACAAACCTTTAAGGAACTGCTCACTGTATCACAAGGAGGTGACATATGCTGCCACTTCAACGTTTTTGGGCAAGGGATCCTTCCATTTTTTTTCTTTTATTTGCATTAGCCATTTCTAGCATGCCACATGTTATGTGAGCTATCCACTAACCAATGCTTTTGCATGACAATAGTCTCCCTATCAAGATAATTGTCATTCCTCAAATATCTTTACCATTAAAATCATTTCTGTTACTCTTTAAATGCTAAACTACCCTATATAAAACAAATAAAGGAACAAGAGCCCCAACTCGGACTGCTCCCATGTGGTGCCAATCACTTGCAGATGTGAAATAGTATTCAAACATGTTTCTCCTAATAAATAAAAACTTAAAAAAAAGATGGTTCCGGTTCCTGCACATGAACTTTTTCCTTTGTTATCGCTAGCAACACTCAATGACGAGAAATGCTTTCAGTCACATGACCCATCGCCACAACCTAAGCACAGATGATCTAGAACAGAAGGGCAGTGGGATCAGAGCTTTGTGAAGCTCACAGTAATGGTGGCGACTATAATAACAAATATGGAGGTGTAAGCCAATTAATGGCTTCGCAGGGCTCTGCCTCTGCATCTAGTAGACAGGCAAATCACGTAGTGGTTCTGCTTACCCCAATCGAGCATTTTTAAGCAATAGGAAAGGGCAACTCCAAATCGAGAGGTCTCCGTCTTCCGAGTTGCCAGCATGTATGCGAGATGTCAGTAAAAAAAAATGTTATTCAACGCTCATTCTTTTTTTTCTTCTTCTTTTATGCAAGTGTAATTAAATAGAAGAACACTGGGTATGTCTTTATAGTACAATTGCAAAAGAAGAGGTGCTAACAAACACTGGCAGAAACAACAACCATTTTACAAAAAGAATGAGACCCTGCCCACATTTAGAACATTCAGTGTACATTCCAGCAAACAATAATCTGGCGCATGAAGCTTTGTACTTGACATTTCAATGCAGAAGTTCCACATGAATTTAAAAAAAAAAAAAGAAGTGTCAAAGTGGCAGTACTTTTAATTATAGGTTATTTATCTCCATGCAAAGCAAGTACTATATTGATGTATAGTCTTTGCCAACATTTCTTTGAACAGGTTGAGTGAAGCACTTAACATTTGATTAGATGCCGTGGCCAAAGCTTCAGTTGCTGAGTCACTATTAGCATATGTGAAAACCACTCAAGAATCACAATTATATTTGTTACTCATTTCATTAATTGGGATGGGTGTCTACAAAAATACCCACAATAGATGGACGTCGCCATTGTCTCTCTTTGCGATGATTGAAACAGGTTTGACTTGGCGGTTACAAGACTAACATTCAGCAATGATAGTAGATACTGAAATGATGCATTCCACAAAAATGTAGGAACTGGAATCTTTCAGGCTGTATACTGCTTGTAACGTATGGACTGAACTTGACTTAAAAAGTCGGTTGGAAAAGATGGCGGCTTAATTAAAACTAACAGAGAACCAAACACTAATAAATGGATAGAGTATGCCAATTCATTTTACAGTAGGAAATCATAGAGTTGCCATTGGCATACATACCCACTAGTGTCATATTAGCCACAGCCAGTGCACTGGTCAGTAAACCTTCTAGTATGAATGCTGTGCCGCATCTGCAGTGCACTCCCAGAGAACATCCACCGACTTTGGAAGTGCAAGCACATGTAGGTTATGCATACACTTAAAGCACCACCAAAGGCAGCATACACCTGCTGGAGAAATTGCCACTCCAAGAGATTACACACCCTTGCTACCTGCTCGGGAGGATGCAAATCTCTCAGGATGAGTCCTTAATGTACGCTTATTTTTCAATGTTGCACCATCCTGTATGACTCGATTTGACTTCTTTTTAAGCACTGAAGCTCGACGCTTGACGGAGGATATCAATAACATCAGATCAGCGCTTACTGAAATCAATATTTTTTTTAATGTACTAGATAGCAACTAGGACACTTTCTTTTTCTTATAAACCAGTGGTTAAGCTTTAAATATGAGCTTTATGATTTGTGTTTCGCAAACAAAAACAGAAAAGAATAAATAAATAGAAAATGTGCAAGACCGTTTCTTGTAGCAAGAAAACGGAAGCCATACAACCTAGCAACTAGAAAGAAACTACTAAATTATACGCCATAATAAGCCACCTCCTGTCGCCATTCCCAGAGCAAAGCAAGTGAATAACACGGAAACACACGCAGCTTGTAGCAGCATCCTCACGATGAGAAAACCGGCGGATGGTTGGGTACTCATCACAAAAGTCCGGTCACGTGGAGTCGTCAAAAACGGAACGAGGGCCGCCGGTGGTTTGCTTGCGTCTTGTCTCCACTGGTGTGCTGGCTGACCAGGTGTTGGGTCAGCTGGTACCTGTATCACGGCGAGGTCAATACTTCCATTGTAAGATACTGCAAGAACTTAGCCATGACTATATACTCCGTTTCAGTTTACAATAGACAGCAGAGAATGCTACGAGCCATCGAAGCCAATCCCACATTGTATGAGCGTCAAGCAACATTCAAAGTGCGGGACGCATATAGTCACGTGGTACCTTCACAGCGCTGCACTGGCTCGGGCGACTATGGTGTCCACTGCAGTTCATCGTGAGGTGACACGGAGTAGAGAGGACAGATTTCCCTACGTAAATTTCAAAGTAAAACCTGCAATTCCTTTTTATGGCCTACCAGTCTTTTTGGGGCTATTTACAGCTGAAGCCATCAATTTCTGAGCTGCTCAGTGGGGCAGAGTTTCGGCGACTCAGCCTGATGCCGAGTAGAAAATCTTGGTTTTCCTGGCGACATGCCTCGACCACGCTAGGCAACACCTTTGCCACTGATCACAGAAGGATGGAGATGATCCATGCTGAGGTCCGACTATCAGGTGAACTGTATTTTATAAATATACGGTAGAACTCCTTGAGTAAACACTGATACAGTGACACTGAAACAGATGTTATGAAGCAGAGTTAAAGTGCACTTTCAATCCTACAATGGGTAACTAAAAAATTTTATAATGGTAAATTACAACTGCACTGCTAAAGCAACATCAATTAAAAACGCTCCACTCCTTCAAGGCCTTACATCATCATAGATTTTCTAATCTTTCTTTCTCCTCACTATAACTATCCCCTGTGTGTTTCGATTATCGTTGAACAGTCAAGGTCCCACACTGCCGTCAAAACACATTTTAATGATTTTATACATCATTTACCTCGAGGGTTTCAAATGACCAATCATTTACCCGAATTGTTAACGTCAATTGCTGGCTGCACTTTTTCACGTCTCCCCTACCGTTCAAGTATAGTATATTTTGTTTCCACTGTTTTACTACTGCATATTAAGTTCACCCTATGCTGTTTAACTATTATCTATACTTTTTCTTTTTGTCCTGCTTAAATTCCCCACTCCCTAGGCCTAAAGCTAAAAACATTAATTAATAAAAGCATTCGAGGTTGCATCAGAGTGAATATTTTTGTGCAAGTCTGACCTCAGAAAAAAAAGAAATTGATGGAAACAGCAATAGAGAATGCTTGTCACGCACTTCGCCATCACGATAGGCCCGTTCCTCTCGGCCAGGGTGGCATCAGCACATCCGCAAAATGCAACCATGTAATGCTGGCACAAGGCGGTGCAATAGTGTTCTCAAGACGAGACCCCAGAAGTGGCACTGCGGTGTCCGATTACGCACGAGTCACAGTCGAACACAGGCGTCCGTTGGTGTCTGTCTTCATGCTCCGACAACAGATCATAACGAAAACAAAATGAAATCGACAACACAAAAGTGCAGCTCGGGACTTCAGCGTCTTACCAAAATGATAAAATGTACTTCTTTCGGATTTTTTGTGCTTTCGTTTTTCTTTTATCGTTATGACATTTGTAAGCAAAGCAACGAACGAAACACAACCTAAATGCATTCGATTTCGCCTGCCAGGGACACTCCTCGAAACTCGAGAGTTGGAGGTCCATTTGCGAGGTCGCAGAGAAGCCAGGTGCCACTTGCCTCCTCTGAAAGCTCTGGTCGCACACCGAGCAGACGTGAGGACGCTCCTTGGTGTGCCTGAGCTGGTGGCGTCTGATGCTGCTCTGGAAGCTGCTCTGGAATGGGCAGTGCGGACACTGCAGGACCCGCTTTCCGCCGCCCCTCGCTCGCAACGGTGGAAAGTGCAGCATCAGCCCTGCGACCGAGAAAATGCCACGCACGGTGGGGGCATCAGCTTTCTACGCCAAACAGTGTTCCGTCAATGCGGAGCGAAAGTTTGTCTGCTTCTTTTGCGGGGGCTGTGGCGACGTCACAACATCGAGCTCCAGTTGGCTCCGATTGAAGGATAGTGGGTAGACCTTGAGGCAGCTTGCTTTGAAGTCTACCCACCATCCTTCAATTGGACGGCGTTCTGACATCACCAGAACCCCTGCAAAAGAAGCAGACAAACTTGCGCTCCGCATACCTCCCAATTAAAAATGCCATGGTGCTAAATTTTCAATGTCATCTGCCGGAGACCGGCAAAATGCTCAGATTCGACGAAAGTGCTATGTGCAGCGTTCGACCAGGACTCTTGTTCTCAATCGAAATGGACTGGTGGACTATGCTCGCCGACAGGACGAGAACGACAAAGAGGAGTTTCGGTTGTCCTAGCCCCCAGTGCGGGCTTCCCAACCGCAACAATGCTTCAGAGGCTCGCGAGCCTCAAATGCACGCATAGCCGACGCACAACGAAAGTAAACAAGTGCTTGCTGGAGTCTGGGTGTTCGAAAGAGACAGCCTGCTGTCCTTGCCATTGGTGGCTATGGTCAGTTGCATGCATCGAGCCAAAATTGGGAGCGAATCTGAAACAATCTTTTGTGCGTGCCGCGATAGGGTGCACTAAACACGACGCCAAAGGACAAGGACCATCATTAGAAAGAAGAAAAAGATATTTCGATATGCGTCCAGTTTTTTTTTTCTACTAGTCTTTCTCCTCATTCATTTCAACTCATGTTCTCGGCGACCGAACGAGACGTCCCAGCTGGTCGTCAACACGGCCCTTGCGCCCAATCCGTGCTCCCTGCTGCACTCCGATGGGCGACATAAAAAAATATGGCACTACGACCATGTTAAGTATCAAGGTAGTGCAAATTCTGTTCACCACGTAAAGTATGTATACACGAAATAATTGTAGAAATAGGGTTACTCCCGCTTGCAAGCGGCTCTGCAACAGTTCCTGTGCTGCGCCACCTGTTTTGCAGAATGATGCGTGCTGAACCTGTGAGGGATTCTTTGAATAGATTGCTTTCGACGAACGTCGGTCTTGATATCACGGCGTCCGGGACGCGTTCCCACCCAGTGCGTTTGGTGTCCCGTCCTGTCCGTGCATGCGTCGAAGGTTGTTCTGAAGTGGCAACAAACGACACCGCGGAAGCTGGAGTGTCACACTGCCGGATGTTGCATTCCTAGCAGGTGGTCGTAGAAGTTCCATCAAAAAAGCAAGAGCATCACAGACGTCGCGGCATCCCAACTCCTGGCTGTCGGAGCTTCAGTGACCTGTCAAGTCGGAGAGCGACACGCAGTGGAACAGGCGTCTGCTACACCCACCACCACTGTTGAGCCAGAATCGCGGCTGGCGACAGCGTGACGCTCCTACGTCATCAAATAGTAATCGAGAGACCACTTTTTTTTTTTTTTTATGCGTTAAACAGATTTGTTGGCGACGCATTCCATGCAGCCTACCAAAATGTGTCGGCCTTCATGCATGAAAGCTGCTTAGAAATAAAGAATTATGCGTGGGAAAGCAGTAAGTTAAAGGCACGAGCTAAGGAGAACAAGGTAAATGAGCGAGTCTCTTTGACCGACGTCCGTAGAAAGGAGTGTTGTCGACGAGCTGGAAATGAAAAGGAAATGCTGGTGGGCAGTCCAACTTGGAAAATGTCACGGCGTTCAAGAGCAGTGTTAGGGGTCACGCACCTGTTGCAATAAGAAACAACATACTACTAACCTGTCGAAAAGAGCATAGCGGCAGAAGGTATCCCACAATGCAAACAAGTAACGTGACACACTTTCGTGCTTTCAAAGACTGTTTGTACAATTCCACAAACAAATTTAGCTTCTTTGTATGGCAAGAGTTTTTTTGCCCATGAGGTTTAGGGGACATGTGATAAAATACTACTAAAATGAGAATTAAAAATTATTTTATCAAGTCTGGGGGTGAGACAGTAGATGGTTTTCTGTTATAAAGCTGTAACGTTGGGAAGAAAACACCCCATACGCATACTGCAATGCCACCTTTTTGAACCACAGTGCATAAGGTATGAAATTTTTACAGGAATGTAATGCAAACAACAACTGCTCAGGTTTTACACACGACAACATCGAACAAATGTGTTGTTCCATCTGTCCACCATTTTTGCAATTCACTTGCGAGTTGGACCTGTTTTGGATAGAAAAGAGCAAGCCCGTAGGCCTTTCCGAGTCATTTACAGCTACAAAGATTAAATATCAAGTTGAGTTCAGGGATTCGCTCTTGTGGCAGCGCTACTGCAGAGTACACCATGCTCTCGGGTTCGAATGATCAAGGTTGTTGCATCAGAGCTGCATGTTCTGGAGGGCCGCACCTGCTTCAACGTGCCAGCGGGGTGGTCCCCCTCCTGTAATTAAAGATAAGTAGACTTCAATTGATTAAAAGCAAAACAAGTAGACATGTAATGAATAAATATGGTCCAAATGCTCATCAAACTACCTTCAAAAGCATTAAATGAAGCTGTTGAACAACGAAGCAGCAACCAAGAGATGCATTGAGTCTGCTTGTACTGTAGTATCGTTACAGCCAGAGTTAGTGATAATAGTAAAACTGAAGTATAACCGTGTGCAAAGCTTTTTTCTGCAGTGAAACATACCTAGCTGACTTCTAAAAATGTTGCTATATAACCAGATGCTCACTAAAACTAACCTGGCTATCACCGACTTCCAATGCCATCCTAAATTGCAAGAATTACAAAACCAACTGAAATAAAACTATTGTCGGAGAAAAACCAAAGAAATTATTTCCTTTTGCTCTATAGCAGCAAACAAATTTGAAGATTTAGTGCAGCACTCACAAAGCAAAAAAAAAAATAATTCCGCCTTTGTCATAAAAATACATAAAACAAAGTCCCTCGCAAGCATAGATTACACTGTCAAACTTGCAACCAAGGAATTTGATTGCTTTAGTAAAGTGAAAAGTGGGAAGCGTAAACAAACCAAACACAGAAAATGATTTTGCTGTCACTGACGTTTGTAAACTTGCACAAGGTTGCTTCAGCAGTCTTTTCAATAAGCTATGGCCAACAACCCAAAACTCCATGGTTCAAATCAAGCTTCAATCTTGTCCCAATAAAGCCTTCAATGTACCTAAAGAACTCTTTTGTTCGGAAAGTAAGACAGAAATAAAACTTCTTAGAATGGATGCTTGGGCGAATTGGATATTCATTGTAGGAGAAGCGCTAAAGTAGATTCACTCACCCTCACATTCACACTCACACCAGAAAAACGGTCACTCACGTCGCGAGAAATAAACTCATTGTCATTGAGAAAATGCACTTGAACAAGTGACACCATCAGATGCAGCACATCTGCCACATTCCACCTGATGAAGTTAATGGATATGACTAAATAAAGCTCTTCTAAAACTAAAATGTATGTTAGTGTTTCGATAAAAACCCTAGTAAAAGGGACCATGAAACAAGCTGGCATCAAGGAACTACATGACACTTCTCTCCCGCACGAGATTTGACTCTCATATCACACCACATCCCCTGTGTGCTATCCCAAGGGTTTGTAGTATTCCTTCTTCCTCCTGTTATGCCACTTGTGAAGATTACAATCCCTCTGAGATCAAACACAAGCAAACACAATAAAACAGACCATCTATAGCCAAAAGCAATTTCTGGGTACAGCAAAATCAATGAAACAATAAATGGCAGCGATCAAACGGTAATCAGAAGTAAGGCGCTACCTATGGCAGACGCCAAAGACCAAGTGGATTATTGCAAAATACAAGCATACTTTAGGTCAACCTGTTGGCAAAAGCTTTATATCACAAAAATGACAAGACTGCTTTCCAACCCACAAGGCACACACTGGCCGGAATCCTCCATCCAAGGTATTTCAAGGCAGAACAAAAGGCACACATATAACGTCAACATGAAAGTCAACAACATCGAGGCCTTTGTATATGACAGGCACTTTATATTTTTGTGTAAATATGCAACAAACAGTAAGTACCCAGGTCTCTTATTTGGCAGGAAGGCGACATTCTGAAAAACATTTCATCTGGTTGAAAGCTCGAGCTAACGTTGAAATAGAAAAAAAAAAGAAAAATAAAATAAACCAAATGTGGGATTTAGATGTTCTCAGAAACAAGCACCCTATGAAAAATTTTTGAGGTGCTACAAATACCCAGATGCCCCCTGAAAAAAAGTTACAAGCATCTTTGGCAACTCTCCCCTTCCCCCTCCAAAAAAACAAACAAAAAAATTTTGCATAGAGAATTCTGTAACCATATGAATGCCATGCACAAAACAGTGATTAGTACAAAAAAATAGTTGGTTTAAATTTCTTTGGCTGGCGAAAACTTCTTTGGCAAAACATGGCATTGCAGAACAATGCACAAAAAACAAACACTCTAGATAATCTTCTAACAAAACCTGTCCCAACAATTGTCCATGAAACATCCAACAAACTGTCCAAGCGGCCAAACAACCAACATATATCTTAAGGCAAAAATTGCCCAGGAAACACATACACAGGCAAGCCTCCTCTAAGCAAAGCTTCCTCTGGCAAGATGTCATCTGGCAAAATATTTTCAGGGTGAACTTCATTGGGAAGGGTAACCTTGGACAAGACCTTTCCTGGCCAGATGTTTTCAGTCCCGCATATCTTTGGCACATTCTTCTTGGATGTGGCTTTCTTTGACTCTCTTTTCTTTGAACCACTCTTCCTAGAACCACATTTTCTTGAATGACTCTTCTTTGAGGAACTTTTCTTTTGTGAACCTTTCTTTGGCACATTTGTCTGACAAATGCCTCCAGGAAAGCACTTAGTTTTGGAGAGCTCTTGCGAAGATGGCTCTTGTAGCAAACACTCCGCTGGAGAACCCCTAAAAAAAGCTTCCTTTGGGGTACACTGCGGCAAACCCTTCTTTGGCACACTTGACTGGTCCCCTGGAGAGCTCTCTCTATGAGCAGCTTCTCGGTAGACTTCTGTAGAACCTTCTTGTGAAAGACATAGTAGAAATCCTTTTGGAGAACTAGCTTCCGGAAAACACTTTTCCGCGATACCTAGCGGCAAGATTTTCATTGGCACGCTTGCTACAGTTGCATCAGAAGCCCATCCATCCAGGACAGCTTCTGTAGTCACCTTCAAAAGTTTCTGAAGATCTTCATTTGGAGACCGTTTGCGCAAAGAACCTTTCAAAGAACCCTGTATCAAACTCTTCTTTGGCACACCTGACAGGTCCCCTGGAGAGCTCCCTTTGTGAGGAGCTTCTAAGATGCCTGCTGTAAGACCTTGTTGTGGAAGACATTGTAGGGAACCTCCCGGAAGTCCCCTCCCTGAGACATCCTGCGGCAAACTTTTCGTTGGCATGTTCACCACAGTCGCGTTAGAGGCACCTCTCGAGAAGACAGCTGCCGTAATGACCTTCAAAGGTTTTTTGGAGCCTTCGTTCGGAGACCGTTTCCGCAAAGAACCTTTCTTGGAACCTCGCTTTGGTGACCCACGTACCACGGAAGACCCTTCCTGCAGCCTTTTCGCCGCATTGATCGTCTTTCTCACCCTCCAATTTTTACCCTCTTCTGCTTGCATCTCCTTAGTGAACAAGATAGGCGCAGGGTGATTAGAGCGATGTTCCTCGAGCAAGTAGGCCCTTGTGAAGGAGTTGGGGCAGAGGGTGCACTTGAACGGTCGTTCTCCGGTGTGCCTCCGAAGGTGCCGTGTCAGGATGGTGCTACGACTGAACCTCCGGTCGCAGATCGGGCACATGTGTGGGCGGTCCCCCTCGTGGGAGCGCTCGTGGCGGAGAAGGTCGGCCTGGTGGGTCAGGCGCAGGGGGCACAAGCGGCACTGGAAGGGGCGCTCCCCAGTGTGTGTACGCACGTGGCACTTGAGCTCCGTGCGCGAGAAGTAGCGCTTGGGGCAGTGCTCGCAGCTGTAGGGGCGCAGGCCCTCGTGTCGGCGCATGTGCTCCATCAGGCTGCACCTGAATCGAGAGAATGAAGATGCTAAAAAAACATAAAACACTTCGGTCAGAGCTGTAAATCTTTCGGTTGCAAGCCGGAAATCGTTTCATAATGACAAAATTCGAGCGCGCGTGGCTAAATTGAAAAACATTTCGCGTGGAAATGGTTATACCCCTGACCCTTCAGAGTGTCCCGTGGTGTAGCAACCTGTTGCATTCCTCCGTCAAATTGGTTGCTTGACTCTTTACATGGTGCACATTTCATTTGCCCTGACATGGAACAACCAGTGCCTGCGTTTTAAAAGGCCGACTTCGCCACTGTTGTACGACTGCTAATTTAAGCACTTAATGTTCATCGGGCAGTGGTTCTTACAGAAACATACTAGTATTACAACACGCTCCCCTATTGCCACGCGGGTCACCGAGTCGATAGCGGACTTTGCTGCCCTCCACAAAGCGTTCGCCGATTATAGCTTTTTTTTATCTTTTTCATTTTCACCGGAATGCACCAGTGCTTTCCGGAAAGGTATAGAATTGTTGCAACTAGATTTCTATGTCTATCGGAACCTCCTTGAGAAGCGTGGAATAATCGCTTACCGATAATTCTGCATTCCAGCCTAATCATCTAGAGGACGTCAATGTATAAAAGGCAGTTCACAAATTTGTCAAGTCAGTCTTTCGCGCGCGTTCGACTCTGCATTTCTGCCAACTTCAACGCCTATGACGCTCTGTACTTATCTTCATTTGCCCTTTTTGGTTGTTTTGGGCAATAGTTTGCCCCATCAAACATTTATTTCAGTTCATTATTCATGGTCTCTTCACCTTCATCAGTGGCAATATTAAAACTGGTGTGACTGGGAATCGAGTCCGCAATAGAGGCAGCAGCACGATTACACGTTCAGTCATCAAACCCTCAGCCCTAGCTTTTGGATAGGGAGAGGAAATGCCCACCTGGTCTTAAAGCCCTTGGAGCAGACGCCGCAGCAGTGTTGCTTGCCGTGCTTGTGCATGCGCTCATGCTCCGACAGCTTGTCCCTCCGGGTGAATGTCCGGCAGCACTCGGTGCAGTGGAACGGCCGAACCGGACCACCTCGATGCACTTTGATGTGCACCGCTAGCCGCTCCGCGGTTCTGAAAGACCGCTCGCAGCACGAGCATGCAAACTCCTCTGCTCCTCCCCCGTCGTCGCCTAACATGGCTGGCCTGGAGTCAAAGGGGATGGCGGGAAAGGCATCTTCCAACAAAAGTTTTCGTTGGGGTGGAGCGGGGAATTCATAATAACTGATAAAGACGACTCAAATAAGACAAACCGAGATGTCAAACTGTGCTAAGCAGTATTGCGGTCACAGCCAATTATTAATTTCTTATGTGGCAGTAGTTCCTACTTTTTGACATTAGAATGTTTTCTTTATCTTTCTTTTTATAGTAAATAAATTTTTCTCAATGTACCATCTTTACTCGTAGGAATATGAGATGCTGCTGTGATGCGTGGTCAAGACCCCCCCCCCCCCCCCCCAAGACTTACTAAAAAGAAAAAAAATGTTTTTTTTTTTTTAACAGTTTGGTTGGGTCATGCAAACCAAAAAATAATTTTTACGCAAAAAAAAAAAAAAAAATTTTTTAGCAATATTGACGGCACGAGATGCAATTTAGTCACTAGTCACCTCCGTTCCACTTGCTTTCTCTCTCGGCATTTTGGGCGCGTGGAGGAGAGGTGGATCGGCTTGGCCATCACATTGAGGTGGAGAGAGTATGATCATCTCGTTGTGGTGGAAGGAGTGTACGAACATTCATTGGCGTCATGGACTTTGTGTGCAGAATTTAAAATAAACCTGGTGCCATCAACACTGCTCCAAAAATTATTTTTTTTCCCACAGAATTAATTTTTTGACAAGCGTGTCCCAACCAGATAGTTAAAAAAAAAAAGTATTTTCTTTTCAGTGGCCCTTTAAGCAGCCCTTTCTATTTTTGTGAATTTCTAATGCATGTTTAACAGAATAAGAATTGCTCTGCTAATAAGGCCATGCATCTATGACCTTGACTGGCTTTAGCACTCTCAAATGCACTCACATAGTAATAGAATTATAATCACAGCATAAAACCACTCGTTGATATCCATCCGAAAGGCATTAGTATGTTTTCAACCGGACACAGATATACAGATATTGAAGCATTTTTCACAATGCCCCGACCTCAGTGTGTAATTCAGCACAGGATGCTGAAACTCCGGCCTTTGGGATGGTGTTCATAAAATGGAAGGTGATAAAATTTAGAGCCCCCATATTAGGTTGCCATACTCGTCACGCTGCAGAATCAAGAAAGCAGGCCAGTGTCAAGTGGGTACCGCTTGTGACGTGCGAGTAATTTACTTGTAAACAGAAAGAGCTGGGAGGGGGGCAATAACCGAAGTTTGTAAAGGGTGCCTGATGACATCAGGCCGGCCCTGTGTCAATTTTACATCTGCGGAAGCTCACCATCAGTATGCATTGGCAGTCACGTACTCAACTATAGCCACCAGTGAACAACTTCTATTCGCAATGGACCCTTTTCGAGTAACAAGCGCCGTCTGGGGAGTTTTCTGCAAACTATAATAGAAGACCATCCTAATATGCCTCCGCCCGCCAAAACACATTGGCATCGTGCCGTTATATTGGTTTTCAGCGCTTTTTATATCCCATACTACCGATACTAAAAATCAAAGCATCAAAATAGACTAAATACGCTTGAAGATAGATGCTGACAATGTTGCTGTCGCCACTTTTGCAGGGCACCGCGTCCCGGTGTCCTGCAAAAATGGCGACAGCGGGAGTGTACGCATGTGCAAAAGCTTACTAGAAAAAGGTCCATTCCAGTCCGTCGCACGCACTCTAGCGGAGAAACGAAGAACCAGGAGGGTGGGGACGGCGGCGGAGACTGTAGCTGGGATTGTCAGCCTTGGTGCTGATGTTATAGCGTGTTCGTGCATCATGAAGTTTTAAAGAAAAAAGCGAGCGCATTAGACTAGCAAGTGTTTTGTTCCGCTCTGCAACTTTTAAAAATCAACACACTCACCTGCTCGCTGTCACCTGTGATATGCCCTGGCCGCATCATATATGTAGCCAAATAGATTAATTTTAGCACACTAACTAACGACAGCAAGCAGGCACATGGGAAATCCTGAAGAATTTATCCCCGCCCCTTCTCCCATCTTGCAACTACCGCCCTGCCACCTGTAAGGCGTAGGAGTTGCAAACAGACGCAGCTACAACCGCTTATAATTACTATACTTATCGCAACCACTCTATTTAGTCTCCCAAGCCAGATTACAATATTTTTTTAAGCATATTTTTGTAGGGGTGTTTGTGGAAAACAATGTGAAAGCGAGCTTTGAAAAAACCCAAACTCTGCAAGGTTTTTTTTTTTTTTTTTTTTTTCTTTTTACTAGCATTGGATTTTAGTATGAGGGAGACTTCGAGTGTCTCGTTTAATAGGAAGTTCATTTGAACGGACACCAATGTGGGGGGTGGCTGCTCGTGGGAACGTTTGATGTCATTAAGTAACTCGACACCCAGAAACGAGGAAAGGCGATACCCTTTTCGTTTCTCAGACCTACGCTGATACGAAGACTGTACACGAGACCGTCGGCCTTCCCCCTTGCATTTATTCTGCCTTGGGTTCTTAAGCTGGCAAGAACCGCTACGTCGCACAGAAGGACGGGCATTTTGGCCAGCTCTCATGCCAGGATCGCTTCGAAGTCACAGCCATTTGAAGTTATCTTATTTGACTTGCGATTTCACAGATTTATAGAGACATTCATGGGTACAGCCGAATGGTTTGAGAGGTTGTTTAAAAGGGAGGGAGGAGTATGAAGCGTAAACGGCGTCTACGTCTATGTGAAGCCTACGCTAGGAATGCCCAATCTTAACTGCAGGATTCGCCTCTGCAACATGCCGTACGTATATAACGAAGACAACGAACAATTGAACATTGCTAGTTGTAACGATTCACTGAAGCATGTCGCAGTTAAAACGCCCGTCGAGCGTGCGAAACGTATCTAGCCCAAAGCGTAGAGCCGCCTGTACAAATTCAATACTTGCGCAATTCTGCGGGAATCTTCCTCAGTTCAGGTCACACATCAGGCATCCCAAAGCGCTTCGAAGTCATTTCGGTTGAGCAGAATCAACGTTTCGTGCGGCATTGTAAAATATGGACACATTTTGGTTTCCGACCGCCCGCAATCAACCTATGCAACAACAAAAGATTCTGGGCGGAAGCGGAACCCGTTGAACCGTCCTCGAGTTGAGATCCATGATTAGGCGGCCGCTTACGCTACCTAGCCAGTGTTTAAAACTTTAATAGTGCAATCCCATAGAGCTATTCATAATAACTCTATGTGGCAATCCTAACGCGTCATGGAATATATTTTTTTCTGCTCTGTGTCCAACTAGCCCAACTGTCCATTCTTGTAAACACATGTTTATTGTTCCCTTGCTCTGCCAGTCGGATAATCTGTTTCGTTCTCTTCTTTAAAACCATTTTTTTTTTTTTTCTAAATCTCGCTTTCGGCAGCTGCATCATGCGCTCAAAGCCAGTTGTGGTTCTGCTGTTTTTGCCTGCTCTCCAGCCCAACTTAAAATCGAAAGGGTGGGCTAACTTTCGGTGTGCTATCAAGAAAAGTAAAAAAAAAAAAAAAAAACAATTTTTAGATTGTGTTTCTGCCAAACTTGTTATCCCGGCGAGAAGCAATGAAGCGAAGATCACTGTACTTCTGCTGTACTTCCTAGTCAGCAACCAATGTTCGCTTATATGCCGCCATATATGGATGACTAAACGCATTTACGCCGGGGTCATCATTGATCCAAACACTGGTTACTATAGGGTGGGCTATCTTTCGGTGTAAAAAAAAAAAAAAAAAAGCAAATCAAGCCAAAAATAGGGGTGCCCGGGGCATCTTTCAGGATTTTACGTTCTCTGTACATCTTATGTAATACTTTCCCTAGCTGTATATGAAGTCATGTCAATAGTAAAGTGGAAGCTCCTCCCACCTCTTTTGACTTCAGCAGTGTGAATGCTGGCGAGGAGGCGACCTACTCTCCACGGTTCGCTCTGTTGAAGTGGAAAGAGGTGGGAGGAGCTTCCACTTTACTCTTAACCAGGGTTACCAGGTTTATTTTTGTAGTTGGCAGGAAAATCTGGTCGTTGGCCATTTGACTGCTATTCGACTATTCCTGCCCGGGATTTCACCACTTTCAAAGCATTTGGTTTCAAAGCCTTAAACATCATATTTTGGAGCCAGGTAAAAAAACAATGATCAATTCAAGAGATTAGGAAAGAAAAATATTCAAAACACAAGCATGTAAATACAATAAGTGGGCTCTCATTGGTGTTGGCTATAGAGGTGCAATGATTTTTTTTCTGAAATTTTTTGGCGCAATTTAATGCCACAGTTAGGGCATTGGTTAGGGGCGGATGCAGGTGTTTCTAGTCGAGGGAAGGGGGGAGGGGGACAGGATCAGATGTTTGAGACACCCAACCCCCCCTCCTTTTCGATGCCTTAAAATATTACACATGCACAACGAAAAGGGGAAAAAAGGGGAAGGGAGGCAAGAGATCCGGATCCTCCCTTCAGCAGGGGTTTCCCCAGAAATTAAAATTAGGACGGTGTCTAAATCTTTTTTTTTTTTTTTTTGCGGGGGGCAATGAGAATAGAGAAGTTATTGCAAATTAAGGAGGGTGTACACCCCCCAGGGGATGTATAGAAAAATTACTGTGCCTCAGGGTCACCGGGTTCGCCACTGATTGGTGAAGTGCCTGTGCTTCGCCATTAGTTCACTAGTTCACGCCAAAGTTTACTACCATTCTTTTGTATATACATGTCTTATGTGATGTATTGTCGAATGTTCCCAAGAAGTGTTTTAAGAACATTGTATGAAGTTTTACGTATTGAGCTTATTTTTATAGCCCGACATTCAGCCATTCTTGGGCTTTATCTCAAAAACATTTGGTGGGTTAGTCTGCAAGCACCTGGCAACCCTGCTCTGCATACCTGCATCTCATATATCCCTTTCGATAAAAGTTTTCTATCGCTTTCTCAAACTCAAAAAACTTTTCCTTCACATCGTCCTCGATGCATTCCTCTTGTCAATCTTCAAATTTATCTTACTACTAGTTTCCCTGCCTCAATTCAGAGTTTTACAATGTGCTCACCACCACATATTGCTTCATTTCCAACTTTGTTTGGACATCCAATCAATTTTCAAGTGCAAAAGTAAACTACACAATGTTGAGTGATCAATCTCTGCCAGAATGTGCACTAGCGATCGGGATCAGATGCAGAGTTTCAGAAATTTTGGAACTTTTCAATCTGGCAGCAAATGATATTTGTCCTCACATTTGCGGGCTTCATGAGTCACGAAAATCCTTGCAAGTTAAGTACACCACGGTAACTCCTGAAATTTTGGCATCTTATCCCAACCAATAGCACTTAGCCTTGAGTAAAGACTCAGCGTTTGATGATGCAGTCAATTTTTGCGGTGAAAAAATCGTGCCATTATAACTTGCACATTTACTGGCTTGTTCACTATTTGCAGCAGAGCCCACATAAACCTCCCAATGGCTTCAAATACAGGCCACCTCCTATTTAAATGTATTTGAATTGATTATGAAGTAATAAGACAGGTCATACAGCCAGAGATTAAGAATATTTATTCTATTTACACAAACCAGACTTTCATGCCTGAGAATTACACCATGTGGGGTCATCATAATACATATGTGAACAAACAAAACATTGAACGGTTTCAGTTACAATTTCAAGGACTGGAAAGAAACTTTCTGCAGCTCTCAGTGTGGCCAAACTTCAGTAATTCAACCTTGAGAAGAAAAGCATTGCACAGCTAAGATGCAGTGTGAGAGCCTCGAAAGAGGGAAACAAGAAATTTAGCATAGCTTGGAATATTTGCTCCTTCCCACACTAACTTAAACCAAAATTTCAAAAAAAAAAAAAAAAAAAAAAAATTTTTTTTGACAAACACAGTAAGTTTATTTTTTCCGTCTGCAGTGCGAAAGATTTGTAGACAGGGTTTGCCCAACCTGTTTTGTCATGTAGGAAGAGCGCCAATAAAAAAAGTGAAGACCTAATCATGCCTATTAAACTTTGTTAGAGATTAATTGCAGTAAACTAATACTGCTGATAATATACTGCCTAAAGTGTTGGAGCACTAAATCACACAGTATAAAAACAAGGCAGAAAGTTCTTAGACTCATACAGGATATTTACAATATAAAGCAGATTCGGACTGCAGACAATTTTGACACATCTGCAATCTTCTGAGTAGGACGACAGCTGTCTATGCCGACAATTACTGCCTCATTGTCTTGCACTTTGCAATTCTGTACGATGTGGGGTTCTTTGTATTGAAAGACCCGGCAGGACACTGCTTTTAAGGACTAGGTGAATTGTTAACATCTACCACAAAATTTCTACGCAGCCTTTTTGTGTCTGTTAGGTGAACAAAAACCACCTTCTAATCTGACTATAGTAGGCAAACGTTTGCCAGAAGAGTCTTACAAAAGGTGAAAACAATGAGAGTTTTAACTACCAACAAAGCATACAAAGAAGTAGAGAGAAGTAAATCAAAGCAGAGGTACAATCAGTTTGAGGCAGCTAATATTGCACCAGCGTTCCATCTGCAGTCACTAGAAAAGAAATAACTTGGTGTTTGAACAGTAATCGATAGGCTTCATGCCGTTCTGGTACAAGCACGAAAGCGAAGCTACCAATGAAATTGACCGCTCTATTCACGTGTGTAAATAAAAAAAAATGAAAAATTGAACATTCACCATAGCAGAGATGATTCTCTCGAAGACTATACAAGCAAAAACAAAGTGGTAAATCCATTTCTCCCTCTTGATTAAAAAAAAAAAATACAAGTGACAGTAGAAGCATACATATATGACAACTGTATAAGCTCCTAAATAAAAGTTGCCCATAAAATTTAACTTGCACCAGAGAAAGAAATAAAAGCGTAAATCATGGTCAAAGAAGAGGGGAAACAGGATACAACAATCAATTTCCGAAATAGAAAAAATAAAATTACTAAAAGGCCATAACAGGATTTACAGTACAGAAAGCACCATCAGGGTTAATGAACTTATGTACTTTCAAGGCGGAATAGAACACACATGCATAAAGCTGAATTCAGACACGCACCTTCTGTGTTAGAAATAAATATGCATTGACAGAGGGTCTATGGTTCATGGCAATAAGATGCACATCTTAAATAGTTCTATTTTTGTGGCGCGACTTGCACATTTAAATGCCTTTGTAAAGTACAAATTGAAGTAGATCCCACCATAAAACTCATGTGAAAGCTGGCACAGAGCAAGAATTAGAATAGTACTTTATAAGTCAGGGTTGGCTCAATAAACTGTTTTACCGCAATCCTAAACATCATGAACATAACTACAGGGAAATCAGTGTACATTGTGCATAGATAAACCCCATCATAGATCAAGTTTAAACATAAGAAATACTAACACAAACAATTGTAAATAAACATACATTTTTGGCATCGGTTCAGTTGCTAAAGTTTTACACAAGTTTCCCATTTGTCACTAAAAGAACTAGTACCCCCAAAACACAACTCTAATTATGCCCTGCAGGTGAAGAGAGCAAACGCACTAAACCAGTCCCTTCAAACCAAAGACACATGCAAGGAATCAGCAGCCATGCTTTCTCCTTATAATTACAATCATTTTTCGTTTGTGAACTTTGGCATCACGACAAAATCTAGAGGCCTAAGTAAAACATGTACAACAATGAACATGTACAAACAAGAACTGTCCCACCGAAGTAAATTCCAAAACCCCAAACATCCTTTTTTTTTTGTACAAGTTCTTTGTACAGACCAGCTTTTGCAGAAAGACATTCAAAACTCCCTAAGGCACTTCAGACTGCCTCCCAGAGTAAACATACCACACACTTTCAAAAAATAATAATATGACAAAAAATATAGTTTGCATCATTCTGCAAGTTTGCTCCATTCCTCAAAACAACCGCAAAAGCTGACAAGCACTTTTTACAAGTTACACCCCCTTGAAGGAAACTAGCTCACTCCCAGAGTACATGAGAATTACCATATTTCCAGTGCAGGTTTTCAGGTACCATATCTTCCGGACTGCACACGTTTAAAAGTTGAAATTTTTGTGCTGTGCACACTATCTACAGGTGCAGACTAAAACAATTATTTGTTTTTTCAAGATTGTTTTATGATGAGAAGTGACGAATCTTGCGGTGAGAGATCAGTACGCTAATGATTTCTTTACTATACAAGCTTCTTTGGATGCTTTTTTTAGGTGTGCTGCATATAAAAATTTGATGCACCAAGTGCGGACGATGCATTGGGTACGGACTATCTAAGGAAAACTTTTTATGATCGGCCGATCAGACATGGACCGGAAAATATGGTATACCGTTCCCGTTTCCACCCTGTGCTGAAAATGTCGGGTTCCAAGATATTTATTGCGACAAATTTCCTTTTTTACCAAGTGCCACGAGCACAAACTGAACTCCACACGTGACTAGGATCCAATTGTTAGCAGTAAATGACTGGAAATTCACCATATATTGTTTGTTTTCTCTGGAAACTCATCGTCTCAAATGTGAAGTAGATTACGCAACCACACCTAAAATTTGGCACAACCTCTAGCTATAAACATATAAACAAGGTGGTATACAAAAATATTGCAACTGTATTTCGATCTGCCGATCAAAAAACGCAGAATCGCATTTCATAAGAAACGCAGCCCACGCTTGAGATAAATATTCGTCTTCTCGCAGGGCTGTCGCGTCATTTCGGGCGTCCGGTAATTCTTTCTTTCTCTTTTGATGAGAACGCACGGATGCACAGACTAACGAAAGTGAGCATTGTGCGGGGCGAGTTGTCACGCCAACATGCGATGCATGCAAAAGGGTGCCACCGGCCAACTGCACCGACTCTCCTAACTAGCGCCGTGCCAGGCCGCGGCGGATCTCGCGGAATCAGAGTCGACTCGGGAAAGAATGCAGTTGGTAAACCAGCAGGTCGGTATTTTTGTCGGAACGCACGACCCTCGACTGGCCCGTGCGTTGCCAAAAGACGAGCGCCATGTGCACCACGGTTGCCGACAAGGCGAGAACTGCGGTGCGTCTCTTTCGAACGCCCGGTGTCCCGCGCGAGCTCGTAGCCTTTTGCCGCGCTTTGACCGCCCGTGCGCGCTTGAGGTTCGTGAGACGCCCAAGCGTCATCGAAGCTGGAGACGCCCACGCCGAAGGCGCGACGACCAAAGCTTCTCCCTGCCGGAAACTATGGTCTCTTAATACCGAATCTAAAATACGGAGCCATGTTCTGGAACCACGTCCGTCGCCCGCGACGGTGTTTGCAAGCCAGAGGCGCGCAAACAGACGTGCCCTGAGAAAAACCGAGGTAAAGGGGCTTCGAGAGCGATAAACTGGTATCCCGTTCACCAGGCAAAACTGACCACCCCCCTGGCTGCCGCCATGTTCAATTTTGACCACTAGACACGTGACTGTACCAAATCCTGAGGCTTTTATGCAAAATTGAGCCGAGATTTGTATTGCTATCGCTGTAAAAAAACACGATAAACTATATTTCCATACTGTTATCGCCGATAACAACCCAAAATACAGCACCGCGGCTGACGGCATTAAGCGGAGCAATTGTGAAGTAGCCAGAGTTTTTGTTGTAAAAGCACATTTTGGAACTAACGAAACGTAACTTATCTCTTTGGTACTGTTATTAAAGATCAATAAGCAATTATCTGCGCAAGGTACTTTGCTGAAATCTAGATGTAAAGCTATAAGGTCAAGTGTCTAGTGGTCAAAAATGTGCAACATGGCAATGACCGGGGGGGGGTCACTTTCAGCTGCCGGTTTATCGCTCTAAGCCACTCTACCTCGCTGCGGCAAACGGATGAAAGACCGCGGTGGCGGCGTCAGACGACAAACGAAAAGAGTGCTGACGGCGACGTTATAAAGTTACCCCGGTTACAGAACTGCCCATAGACACCACTTCCACGAGCGGCTCCCTCCCTCCAGCTCTCACCCCAAGGTACGACTCCCGTCGTTCAACGTGCCACCGTTTTTGAGGAGGATGGCTGCTACGGCAGTAAACAACTTACAAACACTCTTTTGGCAGACGCCGAACGGAGCCAAACGAGTCCATAGAGTCCCCAGTGCTCGGAGAGTGGACACTGCACCAAGGAGCGACACGATGCCTTTCTCCTCGAGGGACTGTGTGTGCGCGGATATGAAGAGAGTGCGAGGATCATAGCGAGCAGGCGGCGTAGAGGATGGAGGTGATGGCGGCCGTGAGGCCCCCGGTGACCGGCAGGGTGAGCACCCAGGCCAGGATGATGTTGCGGAAGAGTCCCCAGTCGACCCCCTTGCGGGACCGCACCCAGCCCACGAACACGATGGAGCCCACCTTGCAGTGGGTGGTGCTGATCGGGATGCCCACCTTGGAGGCGAGCAGCACCGTGGACGCGGCCCCAATCTCTATGGTGAAGCCGCTGGAACAAACAGCGCGCCGCTCAGTCACTTCTGCCGAAGACCTATTATTAAAATCGTGTCTCCGACTGGTGCGTTTTTAAATGCGTCCTCAAAAGTTCTTCCTCGATTTCAAACTGACGACGTTGTAAAAATCTTTCGCGGTTGCTTGCTGCAACAGACCCTCTTCAGAAGTATGTGTCATCTAGCAGAAAACCGAGGCAGACACGAGTTCGGACGCCACGACGATGGCAACGTTTGCATCCGCACGCCCTTCTAGACCCAATTGCCGGGATCGCGACGTCCAGTGGCGGGACAAGGCGGGTCGTGAGACGCGTCACGTGTTGTCACTTTGGGGCTGCCTTAATGTACGGGCAGGATGATTTCCAGAGTCAGAGACTCTGGAAATCAGAGAGACAAGCTGCGCTTGGTCAGAGAATATGTCCTTGCAAATTCCGAATGAACTTCAGAATAGACCGTGCCACTCGTAATCAAAAACACAAACAAACCTAGTGACTTCACCCGAGTCTACAGGACGACACAAGCACGTAGAATCTTGGGTAAAGTCACTATGTTTGACGCTTGTGCCCTAGCTTTATTCTTCATAGATGAAATCTCAAGGTATTTGAAAAACACGTTCGAAGAAGTACTCCGAGATGAGCATAAACTAGAAGTACAAACTGTTATGCTGGGTCACTGAGAAACTAATGAAAGCAGCACTAGTACTACCAGTTTGCAGCACCTCAATTAGGCCACTTGCAAAGCATCTGGTTCTCCACGAAAATACCCCCCCTACCCCCCCTACCTACCCTACCCCCCCCCCCAGCAAACTGCGTTTATAGATCATGCAGAAATAAAACACACATTGTCTTAAGGGGGGCATCTCTGGTTGCCTTCACACAATGCCACTATAACAAAAGGGTTCACAGGGCTCACTTGGAGGGGGTGACCTTGGTGAGGTCTTCGCCGAGGGTTTGGATCACCCTGCGGCCCCAGAGCCAGAGCCCCAGGCTGATGCCCGCACCTCCGTACAGGAGGATGTAGATGGGCGTCTCGGAGTTCTGGAGCACATTGCCATCATGGTAGATCATCCACAGGGCGACCAAGGGACCAATCGCATTGCTGGAAGGGGGAAATAATCGAAAATAAAAATAAACATGAAATAAAGAATGCTATGATCCATCTGCAGAGCCACAAGCAGGATCAAATGTCACAGTGAAACTCAAGTGCAACGACACTTACGTGCACTTGCCCTGCATCATCAATTAGGTCAAAGTATTTTATAACCCTCATAGTTCATGCTCTCATGAATGAGTGTCATTGACAATATCTTCATTTCATTTCAGACACTATTATTACAATAAAATTACTCTATCCCTATTAATAACATTAAATGGTTCATACTTGTAGCTAGTAGTCATGATTTTATTTTAGTTACAGCTGCCAGTATCCCAGCTGCAACCTGTGGAACAGTAAAAACCCTGGTCTTGAATTGTTTTTCATTAATTTAAATTTTTCCATTTGCTAAAATATCTTGTGTTAAGCAAAAACATGAGCTCATTGCTTTCCTATCTATTATATTTTTCAAGAAAACTTCAACTTCAGCAGAAATGTTTCTGCCCACTTTTTTACAATTCCGCCATCTAAAAGTATGGCACTAATAGCCGCATCCCACTAGAGCGACAAACGACAGTGACACACGACAACAAGCGACAGACGACGCCAACACACAGCCTGTTTGTGGGATCTGCTGTCCCACCTGGCGGACACGACGCAGAATACGGGGACAAGGAAACTTGTTTCCTAGTGGGACTGGAGTTGTCAACAAAACACTTCAAAATACACAAACAAACAGCCTGGCGACGCGGTTTTCGTATTTTGCTCTTGGGACGTAAAACGTGCCGACAAACACAGTGAAAGTAAAAACGATTACTTTATTTCTTGATTCAAGCTTCTGTTTGTCTTCATTTGCCGTTGGCGATTTTCCACAAACAGTCGTGACAATTCACACCACACGTTTTCCAAACTAGAATTTCTGAATTGCTCCTTTTTTGGGTCGTTCGAGGCACTTGAGGTGAGTGCCACGGAATTTCACGCCGATTTTGAGGATGTTTATAACTTCATATCCGAATGATCGAGGGTAGGCGTTTTCTGGGGGACAGTACGGCATACTGATTATCACAGAATGTGATGACAAGTCTCATCTGCAGAACGGCTTGCAGCGGTACTTTGTGTCCTACTTCGTGGTGAGCGGCCTTACATTGTTCAGTCCTTGAACATGGGTGTATCCATCCTCATGCAGTGGCTAGACCTTGGCGTCTTGAAGCACCACCTCGCGCACCAAGTTTTCGCGAGCAAAAACAGCCACAGCAATTTCCCTTTCGAAACACGACCACCAGCAAGCAAGCCGCGCTTGCGACCACTAGTACGAGCAATCAAGGGACCGTAACTGCGGGAACTATCAGTGGCCGCCAAGGACTTCTCTGAAGGTTGAACGGCGGAGCGAGCCACGGGAGGAAGGGTAGAAGGGAGAAAGAGAGCCAGCAGAAGATACAAGCGGGCAAGGAGGATAAGTTTGTCCCCGAGAGATGTTCCTCGGTGGGACTGCTTGCTGTGCTTGAAGTCCAACAACAGACAAGAACTCATCCGTCGTCGATCGTTGGTTGTCGCCTGTCGGCGTTTGTTGTGGGTGTTGGCCGTTACAGTGGGACAGCATCAGCAACACGGAACTTTGTGGTGTTGCCGGACAAAAATCGGTGTTTGTCTCTCTAGTGGGACGAGACTATAAGAACCATATTTTCCGGTGTATAAGACACACTTTTTTTTCCAAAATTTTCGGCGTTGCGTCTTATACACAGGTGTGTCTCATATACTAATTTTTACTTAGAAACTTGAAAAAAGTGTGGGCGCGTCTTATACACCGAAAAATACGGATGTTAGTATGTTCTACAAACAGTAGAATGAGACAACACTATTCTGATAATTTTATCTTCACTCTGGAAAAAGTTATCAAGTTGAAATTTTATCGCTGATAATTAGAAATGAGTCATTAAAGTTTTTGCCACTTAGAAAATTCTGCAGCTAACATATTGCAGAAATATTAGACTTGCTGCACCCTCTCATATATAACATATTAAACCCTGAAGAAGGTATTCAGATCCAAGGTCTAGGTCAAAAGATACCGTGGGCAAAACTTTGCGCTGTGATTAAAAGCAAATAATTCTGAAAAAACAGGAAAAGCTTTTCAAATCATGGTTGCAAACAGCATGGATATGACACTTTGAACCGATCTAACTATATATAAATGTGCACTTTCTGAGCATATTACTACTTAGAAAATATGCGGTTTGAAACTTAATTGATGAAGAAAAAAAAATGTTTAAAAATATTTTGTTTTGAAGATTAGGTGTTTTTTTTTTAATGTAATCTAATAAAACACAAAAAAGTTACTGGTTGATTTACACACCATCTTTTTGTACTTTAAAGGGATACTACTACAACAAAATTTCGGAACTTATTTTTTGGTCTATACGTGTTCAAAGGAGTAGTATCACATCAAACACACCCAATATCTTGTTAAAAAAAACACAAAAAAGAATTTTAAGACAAGTTAAACGATTAGCAGAGAGCACCTGGTGGATGTCGCTAAGCCTCGTTTGTAATGCCAGTCTAGGAACCTTAACAGGTAGCTAGGCCCATTCACACACTTGCAACAGAGCACAACCGAGAGAGACAAGACCTGTTGAAACCTCTTAAATTTTCTTGGGACGAGAAAACACACTGGCATGCTGGTGCCATCTATGCTGTGACCCTGGAACTGCATTTCACAAAAGCGAAGGTTTTGCAAGATTTCCGAGGCCAAATGTGCGTAGTAATACTTATGAGTAATGCTCGTTTATAACATTAACAAAAGATTTTCGAGCCAAGAAAGAAAGGATAATACTCCAGAGAAATAGAAAATATGCCGTACCACTAAGTTTACACTGCTACCCTATAGATGGCGCCAGTATGGTTCTAAGGGGTCGTACTCGGTTTTAAGAGGTCGCAAGTGTGTGAACAGTCCTTAAGGCCTCAAGACTCTTTTGTGTGTACCAGATGTTGCTAATCTCTCTCTACAAGATTATAAAAGATAAAACCATAACTCAAAATTCACACAAAAGCAGCTTTGGGGTTAGTTGGGGTGGCGGGAACTGTGGCATGCTTGCACTGCTTCCTGGAACGGCTAAGGCATCCTGACGAAGTCAGCCTCGCTGGCCGCAGCTTTGCTCATTCGAAGACAAACTACGTCACAATTGCGCCTTATGTGACATGCTCTCCACTGGCTGCTCTCCGAGCGCTTGCCAGAGTGGGCCGTTTATAATGAAAAATACAGTCATCAGGCTCAAAATGCAAACGTGTGATTGTCATTTATGGATACTGTGAATCATATTCAGCCTATTTCCGAACACGACAGGTTTTGGCAGTTTAAAGGAAGAGTGAAACTCGTCGGTCACCTGACATCGTTACCGCCGTGAGCGAAGGACCCAAAGATGGCTGTGAGGACTTGCAGAAAGGAAAACAGCTTGGCTGTCTCTGGTTTGTCATCTTCGTGGATGTCCTTGCAAGGTGGCCCAGACTGAAGAAAGGGACATAGCACAAACATAGATATCTAACCATTCTACAACCTCTCCAAAATACATTCCCACTTTAAATCAATTTGATCCCATTAAACAATTACTAGCAAACATACTACTATTTAGGAAAGCACAAACCTAGGACACAGTGTATAGTTGGTCATTGCTGCTGCATGCTAAACTATGCTAGTTAGAATTACTATGTTGTGAACGTTCTGGGAAATAGAGTTAAGCCAGCACCTTCAGTTACACGCGCATGCTGATGTGGCTCTCACGAAACACTAACGATTGATTTTGAAAGTTGTTACTCCTAGTGCAGTCCAGATTTCATCTTTTCTCTTCAAGTTTTTCTGTACTGATTAAATTTGCTCAAAACAAGCAAACAATATCAGTCACCCACTTCCCCAAAACAAGCAACTTCAATTCTTTCAGCTTAATTGAGAGTAAACCCAGTGCGACGTAAAAAAGCACTGATCACCAAAAAAGCAAGTGACACGGTAAAACATCTTGAAGACACCTAAGCACTTTTCATGAGTTGTGAATGCGAAAGCATGAATGTCATTCTTCCGCTCCCCCAGTTCGTCTGTGGCGTACTGGCACGGGCGGCCATGTTTCGCTACTGCTGACGGCTGAGCGCGTGCTCTCGTGAAATGACCGTGCCGCGTTGAGCTTGGCCGTGCAGCCTCTCCGGAGTCTGCCCGTGTGGGCTCTGCGGCTAGGCCCGCACCTCTTACCGGGGGCCGGGCCGCTGCGTGCGCTGCGCCGCCATAGAGAGGGCTTCTCTGGTTGCGTTCCTTTGAACTACGCCGTGCGAGAGCCAATGGGAGCCTCGTTCTTTGAAACTACGACACGTGCCAGCCAATGAAAACCTATCCATCGGATTTCTGCCACAGACAACAGGCTTCGCACCATTGGGACAGGGGAAGGTGCCGTTTGGCGTGGCTTGAAAAGCTGATGACGTCGGTTCGCTCCATGGGACAGTTAAAGGGCAACTCCGCTACATTTTTGGTTTTGAAAAAACAATGCAGTCCTCTTCAGTATCGCCTAGGAAGACAACACGTAAAATGTTACGACGCAGTTCTGTCTAAATGTTTCTTAAACGGTCCAGCAAACTTTGCAACTCTCCAAGTTGCCGAAATCGGCTGACTTGAGCGGGCGAATTCAGGCGCAACCAACAGCGCAGTCAAGGCTACGGCATGGGCGGAGCCAACATTGAGCTAAACGTCATTATCATGGCCCCCTTTTGCTTGTTTTCACTTCTCCGGGCGAGCGTAGCGCATGACGTCAGCAACGTTGCCTCTAGGCGCTCAGCGGTGTCCACGTGATTGGTGTAATGCGCCTGCGCAGCGCGTTTCTTGGGAGCCGTCTGGCCGCCCGTTGTGGTCCCGCCGTTACCGCCGTCTTCCGCATCACAACCGCCGTCGTCGTCTCACCGATTGTGATTATTATTTCTTGGAGTTTCGTCCACACTACGGACACCACGTACGCAGACTTATGCCGCAGTTGTGCAGACGTCGTCGAATGCCGTAGACAACAAAACGTGGCGAAGAGTGCGGTGCAGTCGACACTCCCGCCTGCCACATGTCCGCCCCAATTCCGCCCGTCGTTGGTCCGAGGATCACGTGACATCTCGTACTACGTGATGGCCATGTACTTGGCGACCCGAGGCCAATGTTGCCGGGCGGAGCCGAAGTTTCGGTTTCGATTTCTGCTCGTGTTTAAAATTAGAATTAAAAATATATATCCCATTTTTTGCGAAGCAAATGACGTAGTGTGCTTTACTAGGGCTTTTTAATTCGAAATCAATCATTATCCCGAAATCTTCGGAATTGAGCGGAGTTGCCCTTTAAGGGGGGACACCACTCAAAAAGGTAAACTTCTGTACCACTTGCTTGATTTCCATAAAATTTGCAGTGGAAGTTTATGTGAGTGGCAGGCCCATCCCTGCCAAATTTCATTGTTTTATGTCATTTCTGAAACTCGTTACATATGTTACAATATGGAAGTCGTGTGTTCGCTTAGGAAAACTCTTGTTTTAAAATAATAAAAAACTATGCGATTTTTATGTGTAATATAGTCATAAGAATACCCATAGCATACGCCTTAGCTAGTTATTTTGCTATATTGCATTGTTTTTCATAAGTGGCCGTGTAATCTCCATAAGAAGATTAGAACTGCGATCTCCATAAGTTTACAGCCACAAAACAGCTGCTACAATAGCGCCGCGAGCTTATTCACCCCCATTTTGGTTTTGATTTTGCCCTGTAGCCTTGATACCATGTCCCATGCAATAGACAAGCTGGGTTGAGGTTATAGTTGGGTTTTCTGGTTCCACTATAGCCAACATGGCCGCCGTCTGCCAATTCTTATGGCTGTTCCAGTTCTTCTCGTGGTCCGTGTTTTTCGAGTGCGACTGCGAGAAGAGCAGCCGCCTGCCGTTCTTGTGATTTTTGAGCGCGAAGGTACTTTGCCGATAGGCTTAGTATTGAAGCGAGCTTGGTGGACAAAACATTGTCTACCAATAGCGCTAACTTCAACTTCGCTGTTTGCGCCAACGAAGGTGCCGACAAAGCGCAGCATCGTGATCAAACAGATCAACAAACAAGTGAAAAGTAAACAACATAGAGTGGAGGTTGGAGGAGAACTAGTGATGGGCCGAACTTTTGCCGAATCGAAAGTTTGGCGGCGAATCTTGGGATTCGGCAAAGCCAAACTTTTTCCAAACTTTTCCAAAGATACGGCAAAGATCCGTCAAAAATACATTGTTACCAGACTTAACGTTGATATTTAGTTTTTTCTGGCAAAAAGAGGTTTTTTTTTTTTTTTTTTAACTTAAATGCAACATGTGATGCATATCGACATAGTTATTGCTAAATAAGGTGATATTCTACAAGATAATTGTATCGGTGTCGTTTTTGTGTGTTTACTGGCAATTTTAGTGACTCCTTGCAGAAGTGGAGTGACAACGAGGTTGGATAGAAGCGAGCGTGGCAGAGGGGCTACGAGAGTTTCGGTTTTAAGGCCTTATCAGCGCAAGCCTGCATGTGTGTGTAACATATCAACCTCCTTGGTGTACATTGTTCAAATAAAGGCAATAACGCTGCGTTCTTGCTTTCTCTGGGAGTCACTGTTTTGTGCGCGAAAACAAATGCAACGGTTGCTGAGCCTTCACCAGAAGAGAGAATAATAATATTGTAAAAATGCATGTTTTTCGATTTAAGTCACTTGACGTCAGCTTTGTATGAAAGTGCGTGCTCCATATTCGCAACGTCTCGTTTTTAACCTTTAAAATTCCAGTTTCTGGCATTAGGACACACACAAACGTTTCAGAAGATAGGGAGAGTTAGGAATGTCGGATGTGGAACGTCAAGCATTATAGTTCTGTCTTTAGTTCTATGCAGATACATGAAAATCGTGAAATAACACTAATTGAAAAAGCAATATTATTTTGTTTTGGAACACACTACTCCTGAGCCGAAAACAGAATTGTTATAATTGCGAGGAGTGCTTTAGAGTAGTTGTCGGCCAATATTTTAGAATGTACCGCATCATTTGTCACTTGCGCAGTGGAATGCGTAAATTACTGGTCAATCTTCTATTCTTGAGGCAGAAAATATTGACACGAGAACCACACTCGCTCACAAATGCACAGTTACCATGTTGCCTAGTTCACACCGTACCGTAACCGCTGGCTGTACAACACTGCACGATGGTAACCGCACGACTGCACAGCATCCACTTGCAATTCATGGCTCCGTCGCGTTCTCACGCGTGCGCAGATATTTGCAGAATTTTTGCCGAATCTTTGCCAAACTTTCCTTCAAAAGTTTGGCATTTGCCGAACTTTGCCGAATACGAAGTTCGGCAGATTCGGTCTATCACTAACGAACTTAAAATTGACATAAGCAAGTGGAAAGTGTCCAATACGCAGCAGAATATCCGCAAAAATTTGATATTTTGGCTGAAATCGATTTTTCAGACTGCTTGATTATTTGGACAATTTCTGGGTCCCCTCAGAGTCTGAAAAATCGGCCTGCGACTGTACACAGCTTTGGGTGACTTTTATTTCTTTACATTTTGAAACCAACATTATGAATATGAGAAGCCTGAGGCAAAACTTTGTCTACACGCAGATAACAGTCCGTTAGATGTAGAATTTCATTTTTACTAATGGGACTACATATGCAATGACTTATATTTACATCCTGCGCAGTCACTTACATATGCTTCAGAATCTAGAAGAGAAGTATAATCAAAATGAAGGAGTGTCAGTGGAAATGTTTCTACTAAAGATTTTACCTAGGGCAAAGGGACCGCAAAACACTCACCAGAGCAGCCTCCTCAAGCATGATGAGGGATAGCCTCTTATTTGTGTGATGGTGAGGGGGGTGATCACCTGTGTGAACACCAATGCATCATTTAGTGTCATTCTGGACTCACTCAAATATTTACAAAATCAAATATTATAGTGTCCTTAATAGACTAATTTATTCATAGAGGAAAGTAAGCATCCCAATCTATCCAAAAAGCTAGAAATGTTCTTCCCGAAGTACTTTGATAAGGATGAAATGTGTAAGGCTGATTTTGAGGAAAACTTGGGCAGATCGAGATATTACTTAGAGTCATAACTCATAAATTAAATAACTGTGACGAATCACTGATATATCATAACATATTTTGGCATAAAGGGCATCAAACGTGACAAATTTAGCTAAACAAAATCATTTAGTTGGAAATAAAAGCCGTTTTACATGGCTAAATTTTCTTCTTCAAAGCATGTGTGCGACACTAATGCATAATCATTGTTTGCACTAGGAAAGGAGACGATAAAGATACTTGCACCGCGTCACACCTTTATTATTCGCCAACGAAGGCTTTCATCGTAGACTTAGCTTAATTTTCTCCATTAAACTTCCGAGTCTCTTGTTTAAATGAAAGCGCAAGGCTAGACACCGCAGCAGAACATGTCAATGTTTCAGTTGTTCATTTAGCGAGCGTCAATAACTGGCACGCTTAATCAAATACACGTCAAATGATTTCCCAAGGCAAGAACTTGGCAGACCCATACCATGGTGCATACGACCGGGGGAAATCACTTCCACGGACGGTTTGCGGCACCCATTTTTCATGTTCGCTTCATTGTTCTGTTGAATATTAAAAGAAAGATTTTAGTTGTTAGTTTGGATTGTAGATCTAAATGGGAAAACTAAAGAAGGAAAAATTATCATAGAGCCATTTCTGAAAAAGGCAAGGGGTGTGCAAACTATTTCGAAACTAATAGCTCAGCGTCATTCTAGCTCCAAGACTGCAAAGAGAGCTGTTGTTGCATCCTACCCTTGTCCTGTGAAGGCTACGAGTGATGTGGCGTTATTCGATTTAAACCATATTAATTTTTTAGAAGCAAGTTTTAGAACTCACAGACGAGCCTCCACACCCTTGCCGATTTTGTGAACTGTCGATCTCGTGCAGTAAAATGAGGCATGATAAACTTGTTGCTGCAGAGGCGAAGTGTTTTACGGTATCTCGCTCGTACGGTTTTTAGTGGATATATCAGAATGTGCGAGTAAAAGCTTACTGCCAAGTCATTTGAAGGGTATAACAGCTGGTTATTAATTAGGTTAGTAACTTTAAAAAAGAATATATATATTTTTTTAAAAAAGAATATATATATTTTTTTAAAAAAGAATATATATATTTTTTTTGAGGAAAACAAATGTAATTTTGGAAGTTCATATCTTAGTATATTCAATGAATAATAAGAAATAAATCATTGAGGTTTCTTTTCTCATTTATTACTTCAAAGAAAGGACGGTTCTTTCTCATTCTTACACTAACAAAACAAATCTATACAGAATTGGTTGGTTCATTCCTAACCACAATCCACAATAGCTTCTGAGAAGATAATACCAAATTGTTCAGCACCATGTTCTTTGTGAGATAAGCAAGCCCAACTTAGCTTCATACTGAACACACCAAATGGTGTGGCTAAAATTACCCTTTACAAGAAACAAAAAGACAAAGAAAAAGGGAGAAACAAACAGCTAGAAGCACCTTTTTCGTTGCTTCCATCTCCATGTGTGCAGGATCATCAGAAACAGGAACACTGGGAGCAAATGCGTATGTAAGAGTCTTGGTCTCCTTGTTGGCAGATGACAATTCTGTAAAAAAAAAAAAAAAAAAAAAGAAGCCAAAGAAGAGGCTTTTAGGTCTGAGCTCCCAATGTTGTAACTACGAAGGGCATAAAGTTTCTGGCATCATAGAAATGGGCACTTATGATGCGTCAAAGACAAAAACTGATCAAAACCTTTGAAATCCAACAACTACAGCTGTGAAATCATTTATCCCAAATAACTTGCTAGTATAACTGGTTACAAAATGTATTGACAAATTTGTTATTTTGAGAGTTACATTGACGAATTCTTACTAGTTATACCTTTATATTAAAGTAAACCTTTTAGTATCTATCCACTAAAACAGTGGTTCTCAACCATTGATGTTTTGCGGACCCCTTGCAGATCGGCGGACATGATGAGGACCCTGTTCGTGGCGAGGCAAAAGGGAAAGGTATAGGCTAATTATGATAATAGTTTAATCGATATATAGCTAAGGGCTAGTGTGAAGTAGACATCTCTCATAAACATACACACAGGAAAGCTCAACAGAAGATTATAATGTTTCATCTCAATCTAAGAAAAGACTACTTTCATTGCTGGGCTTGACTTATGAAGCGGGGCTTCGCGGACGCCAAAGGGTCCGCAGACCACAATTTGAGAACCACTGCACTGAAAGATTTGCCCTCTTGTAAAGATATTCATAATTACCGGATTCGTCAAAAACTGCAAAAGCATAAACAACATAATTATAGAAAGAAAAAAAATGACAGCCCCCTCCCTGCCTGTTTTGAAAGCATCGTATAATACTTTGAGAGTCGGCAAAGAAAAGCACGATGTGATCATAAAATTTATTTATTATAAGATTCAAGGTGCAACTACAAGGTCAACATGCAGTGCTAAAAGATACTGACCTGTCATTCTCATCCGGTCGTTATCATTTCCGCCGTACAGATCCCCTGGTCAGAATGGACCGACATGCTGTTAGTGCTGTCAGCTGAAAACCGCTTCTACATAAAGGTGCATGCAAAATCTCCAAGCCACATTTATGATTTATATTAGTGGTACTTAAAACCCTGTAGCAAGCATTTTATTACGAGAAATGCTTACCACAAAGGCTGCATAAAGAAAAGAAAGGAAAGCTTTAATTTTGGAACAAATACCAAGAGTAAACCCATAATACATTTTCCCATAGTTAATTAGCCATTGTTAATCATGTTACTAGCTAGATAGACAACTTTCCGCAGTATTCTATATGGTTCCCTCTGAAAACGAGTTCAAAGATTGTAGTACCTACTACACAGCATACTGTTTATGACTACGGTTCCCTAGATTTTTCGTGCGTGTGACCAAAAACTCTACGCTCGCACCGCCACACGCGCACACCTTCCCCGCATGAAAGATTCGAAGTAAATAACCAGAATAAAGCGTTGACAAATGCGCATGCAAGATGCTATTTATTTGAGGCTTTTGCTTTAGAACAGCTACTACTGCAGATGCCGAAATGTGTGGTGCGTGGAACACACACCGCACATTCTGCGTTCTCCTTGATGCTTGGGTAATTTAGCAATATGTCTATTCAGTGAATAGGCACCATTTTCAAGACCAGTAGACTCTCAGGTAGATAATAGAGGTCTCTTAAAGATTAGCTGCAATGCGACCCGTGTCGGTCATGTCTATGCTTGCACTGCCCTGTCTTTGTCGTTGCTCCAAGCGCTTGCGTGCCTAGTTTCCTTTCCTTCCGCTCTCCCAAGGTGGCGGTCCCGTCGTGCATGTCTAGTTTCCCCTAGCTCTTCGGGGCGGGTCTGTGTCGTATGCTAAACGGCTTCGCTGATCATCCACTTCTACAAAGTAGAATGGCTCATGATTTTATTATTATTACTATCATAGATGAAAAAAAAAAAAAATCTAACTGCTACTTTGAGAAGTCCAGCTACTTACACCACAGAAAAACCCAATTAATATAACACCATACCTCATGAAACTACAACCATTAAACTGTGAATGGCCAAAAGCCCCAATTCCACAACAATAAATTTGCAAAACTTAAAGGCAAAGCAAAAAGTCATAAATAAATGTTTCGAACATCGCCACATCCACAAGTCTGAAGAGCCATGCCCGATTCATAAACAAAAAATTAGAGGCCGGAAAAATAAAGAGTTTTGCAACACAGCATGAAAAAAGCGAACAATAGGCGAAACAGTGAAGTCATGCCAGCTAGCAAGCAAGCAAGAGCAAGGCAGCATTGGTATTTCTTGGGAAGCAGCAGCTGCAGGCAGACACACCTAATGACGTAAAAAAGCAAAGGCTTGGAAAGAAGATATCCAAGGCTCACTTTCGATTGTCTTCCTGAGCCGTGGAACGACGACGAACCAGACGACAATGGCTGAGATGGCGGCAACAGATACGGCCACAATCAGCGCTCCCCACCAAGGAATCAAGTCGAATTTGAGCACTGGAAAAAAAAAAAAAAGTGCTCTGTGGTGTCTGTTCTTCCTACGTCCCTGACTTCAAAGCGCAATCATATTTTCTAACGTGACATATCAACCTGCCCAACAATCAACACTTGTCAAAAAAAAAAAAAAAAATCAGAAAAGAAATGGAGGGCCCAGATCTATCATGCCTGCAATAACCAACGAGCTCTGCAACTCGAGTCTAGGAAGCGTTAAAAAAAGACAGAAAGATCATTTAGTTTATTTGATTAAACATCATCAGGTTTTGTCTAGAAAAAAACACACACACAAAAAAAAAAAAAAATTTTTTTTAAAGGGTTTAAATGGGACATATTTTATTTGTGAATTTTTCCACAAAAGAAAGTTTGATTGGAACAATATCTATTTTAAACGCAATTTAGATGGAGGTAGCCCACACTAGGCCCCGCCCAGGAACGTAGTTAACTCGCATACCATTTCTAGGCTCTCATTGGTTGGAGAGATGATTGATGTGTGGGTTGTCTGTTGTAAAATTATTTCTCCAAGCCGTAATAGTATTTTTATCAACAACATATTTATGTTTGAGAAAAAAAAACATAATCTAGAATGAGTCATTGTTTTCAAGAACACCCCAAGATCGGCTTTTCCGCGTTGGTGTGAAACAATAACGAACATGGCTGCGGCATCTGCAAAGTTGCTTCGCATTTACCGAGGCGTTTAGAGGAAGGTCTCCTCAACCAAGTTCGCAGGAAACAACTGTCGCAAGTATGCGCCTTCAGACGCGCCGTGCGGGTACTTGTTTTCGCAGCGGGACTGGCCTAAGCCTAGAGTCCCACGTAAACTATGTTGCTCTATCTGGCTTGATTTGTCCGTGCACGTTGATGCTGAATGAAGATGTTGGTCTTTGTAAGAGTGGTCCCGCCACTCTCTGCATTGTACAACCATCGTGATTGCAAACATGGTTTCAATAGCGGGAAGATACCTAGACAGGCTAAGAATGTGTGAGCCACTTGGCTGGAAGCAATTGGGCATTTAGATTGTATCAAGCTTGTCGTTCAGGCTGAGCATACTACTTCCTGTTGCTCCTTTAGAGTTTTCAACATTCTGGGATTTTCCTAGCAATAAACTAGCAGATTTTCTTGCAAATGTGGCGAGATACACTTTGGTATTTACCAGGCATTTCTGGGTAATTCAACGAGGTATCGTTGTGTGTCATTCTTTAAAAACCCACCATGAGAGCCTTTTTGTTGTATTACCGTAAAACCCCGTATAAATGCCTTTCACCGGCCTATTCAGTTTTTTTTTTGGGCTATATACCGATAACATAAAAATTCTGAAACATTGCCCACCCCCCGATTTCAGTTGGATATCATGCAATATCCGACGGGAATCACATAAATCATGCGATCTGCGATACTGGCACGTGTGACAAGGGAGTTTGTAGCGGGTTTGCACGTGTTTATCGCACCACGACATGTGAAGCTGCTGTGTTTGCAACCTGCAGTATCCTTTCCCATAACATACGACTTCGAAGCAGGTTCCTGCGTCTGCTATGCACGATCTGTGTGTGGGATATCGGTTACATGTGATACACAAGTTCTCATGTGTTTATCGGACCCAGACACATGAATCTGCTGCATCTGCAATATCCATTCCTGTGACATGCGAGTTCGGAATGGATTTCCTAGTTTTTTTTGTCCGCGATTTGCACGCACGCGACATGGGTTCCCCATGATACTCGAGTGTGTAGCGATTTCACGCATGTTTATAGCAGTATCAAATGCACATCTGCTGCGCCCGGAAATCTGCAACATCAGTTCTCTGTTCACTTAAGTGTACCAATGTTTATCGCTAATTTTTTATAAACTTTCACGGTTTCATCTCTAAAAGGTCGCCCATCCCATAGGTATTCTTACGGGATTTTACAGTAGTTGAACGACTTATGTAGAGAGGGGTCTTGTTGCCAAATTGTTTGTAGATTTAGTGCAGTTGCATTTTACTCCAGGCTGCAATGTTGCATGACCTGTGTCTTTTTTTTTTTTTTTTTTAATCTATCAATTCTACAGCTGTTTTATGGCAGCCGGAGCATGAATCAACAAAACAAAAAGAATTCACTCTGTGCAAGTAAGGCTGGGGGGCTTACTTTGAGGACCATCATGCACCACGGAGAAGACATTCACAAAAAGAGTGAAACCGTAGAAAAATGGCAGTGAACGAAGTCCAGGCTCCAAGGGCTTCTCCTGTAAAAACAAAGGGAAAAGAAAAGGGATGAATGAAAATGCCCACAATTCTAATTCCCAAGTTTTTTGTCTTTTTTACTAACACACCAAGACATCCTGTCACAAATGTTTTGTGTAGTGCACGTTGCTTAAAAATGAACGAAAACCTTGCTACACTTGTAGAATGCTACACTACAGAAATGTTTAAACAAGGTCTTTCAGTTGACAGTATCTGTTTTGAATACAGATCAGATGTGTAATCACGACTACACATCGGACTGCTAAGTAATAAAGGAAAGTTATGGCGCACAATGGGGTTCTAACAAAGCCATACTAGCTTACGGATATCTGAGACTATTAAAACTGCCAATGAAATCAATGTTGAGTGCTCATCAAAGAACTGCTTTTAACCTAAAATTTAGACACCTTTAATCTCTCAGTCTTTCGCAGGACAGCTTATGCGGAACAAAACTCACTAAAACATTCCAATGAATATATTAAAAAAAAAAAACATAATGAATGAGAATCTGTGTTAATTGCAACAGGACTAAAACATATCCCTTCTTTTCTGCTTTCATTCTGTACTTAGTGAGCAACAGAAACTAGCACAACTTTTCAATCTCCATTTTTAATGAATATGCCTCCACATTAACATGGTTGATTCTCCATAACTGCCATGTCAAACCGCCACAGCACCCCTGTAGAAACTTATACAGTTTTTAACCTGCATTTGTTGTTAGCCCATACGCCACACGACACCGCTGGTGCAAAAACAACTTAGACACTCTTTGCATTTTACTTTGGAAGGGTATACTGGCGGGGCATCAAAATTCACCACTTACGTCACCGCCCCAACCGAGTACTTTCCACCACAATAATAGTTTAAATAACAATCCCTAAGTACCAAAGAAAAAAAGAGAAAAAACTGCCGATGGTTTGTTTGCGTTAACAGTGTCGTGAAGTGTATGTGCATCTACATACTTTGTACAGTTTTCCCCCCTTTCAACTTGCGGCTCAAATAAACCACTCCTACTCGGCACCCCACACGAACAAGCGTCGTCGGCTCGCCTTTCTGAGGATGAGGAACTGGATGAGGAGGTAGAGCACAACTGAGATGATGCCCGAGAGGACAGGGCTGATGAACCAGGAGAGGACGATCTTGCCCAGCTCCCACCAATGGATGCCCTGCAGGCCGCGTGCCACGAGGGAAAAGCCCACCACGGCGCCGATGATGCTGTGCGTGCCCGAGATGGGCAGGCTGAAGGCCGTCGCCAGGATGTTCCAAATGGCACTTCCTGCAAGGGACCCCCCCTCCCAGGGTCTCGGTCAACGAAGGGCCAATTGGGCAGCCACGTGTGTCGCGTGATGACGGTCGAACCTAACAAATGCCTGCTTGCCTAAACAGCTGATTTCCCCGTCGCTCTCCCTCTTTCAGACACTACTGTGGAATGGAGGGCTTCGTGGGGGAGCTCGTTTTGCTTCTCTTGACCCGCAATTGTACGCAATATGTAGAACCTAGAGTTTTGCTCGTTTTCTTAAAGCTGCAGTCTGTGTGTTATCGTAGAGGGCCATCTGTGTGTTACAGCAAAGGCGAAACCGTCAAACTGTTTTGCAGATTCTTTTTATGTATTTTCCGGTCAATAAAATACAATACTTTTTTTTTTCTCGTCAATTTGATGAGAAAATAAAGTATTGTATTGTAACGGGCTATAGAGACTTTATGCACCAGCCAAATCCCGCATTGACGACTGAAGTGCTGCAGAAACCAAAAAGTGACAAAGCCTCTTTTTTTAAAAGATATGTTTAGAGCAGACACTGTTGTATATATGTTAGGCAATTATAATAGGAGCTACACGGCTCCGAACGAAAGAATGAAACAATACATATTTCGTCTTGTATACGAAAAACATAATTGGGCCGTGTCAATAATCTCAATAAACAATTAAGCAGAATAAAAAAAAAAGACTCAACTTTTTACATTTGATTTTCACCGAAACATAATTTGAGAAAAAAAAAAAGCAAATTCTGCTTCTATAAATGGGAGTGCACAGTTGTCACAGAGAGTACAGTATTCCAGAAATAATATGATAGGGCTCTTCCCAGAGGACTGGTTGTAGCAATCATCACTTGACAACAGGCTTTAACTGTGGCCAAGATAGCGGCTTGACAAAACAATGCAAGGGCAAGATACCAGATAAGCTGATGTTGACACAGTTGTTTGTTCCACAACATATAAGCCACACAGCTGATACCTCTTAAAATAAACGTATGTACAAAGTCAAATATAGCATAACATTCCCTCAAAAGGGTACAGGAATTTGTGTCATTTTGATTGTGCTAATAAATGAATAAATTGATGAACAAACTAGCACAAAGGCAAGCCTTTGGCGTGCTGAGGTAGAAGCATATTCAAGTTCCCGGCTCACCTGCCAGTGCAGCCAAGTTTCCCAGCATGAGATCCTTGGTGGCATTTTCGTACATGCTCACATCCAGGATCCCTTTCCGAACAGTGTCAGACACCTTATACCCTGGATCGAAAAACAACAAAACTCAAGTTACACATATCAAGTAAAATATAAATTTCCTAACCGATTAAAAATCAAGACAATTAAGATTTATTCAGGAACCGCGATGTAGCAAGATCACGTAGGAAGCTACGCTTCGTCATTCGAGAACCAGCTGCACGCGCCGACGGTCGCCTGCCAGTACAGGCTCCCCCCCCCGTTCACCGCCTTCTTGTGACACCAAGCTGAAGCATCACGCCGGGGATTGCACGGTCCGGGGTTCAATTCACACTGGGCCACTTCAAAAATATAGCTAATTACGATCACCCACACTATAGCGTAACGCTTTTCGCATGAAATCTAGCCCCCAAGGGAAGCTTAAAGGGATGCTATATGAAACACTTCAGTGTCCATAATAAGTGGCGCACAATCTTTTCATGAGCCAGCAGCCGCCATCGTGCGCGAGCACACGCGACGAAATTGACATCATAATCCTCCATTTAAGTTTAAAATGACAGTGAAATGTGAGGGGCTCCGGGAAAAAGGAGAACAAAGACAGGCTTTTCATCCCCACAGTGGGGTTGGGTGTAAAAGGTGTGCGATTAATTGGTCTAACAAGCACATAGCTTTTACTTGTGCAGATAAAAACCCCTCTTTATTCTCCTTTTGCCCGGAGCCCATACATTTCCCTGTCATCTTAAGCGTGAATGAAAGATTATGACGTCAATTTTGTTGCATGTGCTCGCGCACACCGCAACAGCTGCTGGCTCGTGGAAAGATTGTGCGCCACTTATTATGGACACTGAAATGTGTGGTTCAGTATCCCTTTAAGAGGTTCTTGAAAAAAGCGAGTTACAGGTGAATTTTAAAGTATTTTGATCCCATGAATCTGAATATCATGTCCGTTTTCCCCAAAGACGTAACTAAACGTGAGAAAACATGAAAACCTCCGTTCGGTTGTTACGTCATACCTGGATTTTTCGGCCGCCAAGAGCGTGCTGCTCGCATGGGCAGCACGTGCAATTGCAAGCTCGCCAGATATATCCCCCTGCACTGACATAAGTCGTGACATCTTTTTCTAACCTTTCTGAAAATAGCAAGACTGCTAGGGTTGCTATCTGCCCGGTTTTTGACCGGACCATAATTGCACATAATATGTATTTGTGTACATGTACAATATACTAATTCCTCTCTAGGAAAACATTCATTACAATAAATTGCATTGCCTGTCAAAGACAAACATGGCATCTTCCTTTCAACACTAATTCAATCTCCTATATTCAACCACCCCCCCCAAAGGTGGCAACCCTAAAGACTGCGCAGCATAGCTTTGATAGACGCTGAAGATGCACAAGAGTAAAGATTCCGAAAACTCCTAATATGACGTCACGCTCGGGGAAGGGTACTTTGAAAGTGATTTTCTGCAGTCTCCGTGCATCAAATTGAGCAAAAGAACCCCATCTCTCGCTCAATAATTTTGATATCTGTGATCCTAGAGGTGAAACAAAGACTATTTGAAGGGGCACCGAAGTCATTTTTGAAAAAGGTAGTTTTTGATCTTATATTGTTTTAAAGGTGTTGGATCGCGCATATGCCAAGTCCTATATTACAAAACTTCATCTCAGGGCAATAGAAAAAAACGTAGACTTTTTTCTCGCGGACTACATTGTGTGGACCAATGAAAGCCCAAAAATATGTGCAGATTCCGAATGATTTTATTATAATTCGTTTCAAAGAGAGTCTGATAGGTAGGTACACATTTGGATAAGACTCCTCTTTTTCTCCGCGGGTGAAGCCATCGCTTGCAACTCGCTGACAAGCAACCTTCGTCGACCACTTCAAGAAAATTCTTCCCAAAAAGGGTATGTCACGATCTTTGAACACGCTTTTAAAGAAGAAATAAGCTACACACGATTGCGATTTCAAGTTTGCTGGGATGCTTAGAACATCTAGATTGAGTTGTCACCACAAAAGGACGATCTCAGAATTGACTTCAGTGCCCCTTTAAGCGTTTTTCCTCAAATGCAGAAATCACTTTCGTTTCCTTTTAAAAACATTTTGTGTTAAAATAGTCAAAGGACAGGGAAGAACAACTGCGAGCTCTCTTTCTTCCTGCCCTTTCTGAGCGAGTCGAGTTCACCCACCTATGAGGATTGCCCCGAGAATCTCGAAGATGGTGGCCAGGATGCAGGCCTGGCGAAGAGTGAGCACCTTGGCACCCACCGAGGTGCCGAAGGAGTTGGCCACGTCGTTGGCACCCACGCCAAAGGCCAGGAAAAAAGCCAGGATGAAGCCCACCACCAGGATCCATAGCAAGTCCGAGCTGGTGTCCACGTACACCATCTTCCCGCAGTGCTCCAACCGCGTGCCGCCTCACAAACTCACCTCCAAGGTCCCTCAAACTGAGCACAAACAACAGGCATGTGCGAACTCGAGAGGGTGCTCGGTCACATCGGGGCACAAATTCGCGCCATGGCTCGGTATGTAAAGTCACAGCAATAGACCATTTTCAAAAAGTGTGCTCCCACTTGTATTTGCTGCACCTATCATCCCAGTCTGCCAATGATTAGGCACACACTCCGAGCATGAACTGGACACGAGGGTTGCGTCAGCGTTTGTCATTAATTCGGCTCAGCTGTATTAAAAACGGAGTGTCGCGTCTGCGTACGGCGAGGACCAATCGCACGCGTTGTGCCAAAAAAATGGCGACCACCAATGTTGCTCGGTGGGTTTTTAAAAAGGCTCTATCTACGTCGTTCTACCACTTATACAATGACAGCTGCCATAGAGGTCACCGAATATTCGAAGACATCAACTTCTACACCCCTACCAGCCAACGCTACAAGAATGACGAATTCACCGCCTTGGAAGAAAACCTAGTATCCATACGTCCATCCACTCCGGTTCGCTAGTTCTAAAACCAAGGGCAGGCCTGTTGACTAACGAGGCTGAGCCCACAGGAGAGAGCGACGTGCTTGCAGTCAGAAAAAGATTATAATGTGTCGTGGCAGGGTAAAAACAATACTTTTGAAAAACCGGAGACGACGGACAAAAAAGGGGACAACACACAAGACGTCTCGGAGATGTCTTGTGTGTAGTCCCCTTTTTCGTTCGACGTCTCCGTTTTTTTAAAAATTCGTAACATCAACCATCTCGGCTGCCTACTCACTTATCTTCAAAAACAATATGTTTGATTAACAAACGCTGGGCAGACTGTAACACACAAGAAACAAATCACAGAGCTCTATCCTTAGTCCTAGCAACCTTTCGTCACAAAAGACGGTGTTTTTTTTTGAGAGCATGATAGCAGACCTTACTTAAACCAAACAGCCTCCGGATACAGTTACTTCATGTCTTACCAGAGCAAATGAAGACGTGATATAATTGGCTCAATGTTTACCCTAGGTGTTGACACTTCCCTTTTCCCTACAAAAAAAACATGAAACCTTTTTATCAAATCCTGCAGGCTATAGCAACGACAAGAGGTCCTTGTTTCTTCCATCTTTATCAGTTAGCCTCGCAAGGTTGGGCGTGCCCAGAAGTGTGTTCGAGATAGGATTGCTAAACCGAAGTAACGCTGATGTAACAGAAATGCTTGCACGATATGCCGCTATTAGACGCTAAGATAAGCAAAACTGTTAAGAAACGGTACACCGTCCTGAAATGTCGTTCAAGGAGTGTGAAACAATAAAGCAGCTACGATCTCCTGTCTCTACGATATGCTGAGCTGACGCAATTTCTGGCATTGCCAGTTATCAGACATGACGTCGTAAGACAAAAAGTTTGCGTACTTGGCAAGACCAGTGGTGGGACGATGGCCAGTTGATAAGTGCACAACCGTGTTCATCTTCATATGCACTCAAATACGGCTTCTCTATACCAACAGTGATTGTTAAATAAGCTGTAACCGCAGACAATAAAAATCATGGTTTTTCTCGGAGCTGATAACATTGCTGGCAGTTACGCGGATACGTTGTCACCGCAAAATTCAACTCCAGGTCTAAAGCAAGAACTAAACTTGTTCCTTCATAACCACAAGAATATGGCCGCTATTCCTAATGTTTCCAGCATTAAAAACACAAAGATATTGTAGGCTGACACAATGTGGCAGTCTTAGAGTGGTTGTTTTTGTTATTTCATTGAACATGGAAGTATGAGATAATTAGGCCTGTACTAAGACTGAAAGCCCACACTGCTTTCAGTTTTTTCTTAAATCAATGGGTGACTGTTGCCACACACATTCAAATCGCCAACCTTTAAATTAAAAAAAAAAAAAATTTCATGACAAGTTAGTAGAACGTTTAGGCAGTTAAAGGGATACTTCAACGAAATTTGAAATGTGTTCAAGAATAGGTTGAATATGATCCACAATATCCGTGAATGACAATCGTACGCTTGTATTTTGAGTCTGGTGGCAGTATTTTTCGTTATAAACGGCCCACTCTGGCAAACGCACGGAGAACAGCCAGCAGAGGCCACGTGACATCGAATGCAATCGTGCCGTAGTTCGTCTCGGGACGAGCCAAGCTACTGCGAGGCTGACGTCGAGAGGATGGCCTAGTCGTTCCAGCCACCGAAGCGGCTGCTTTTGTTCGAATTTTGAGTGACGGGTTAATCTATAATCTTGTAGAGGGTCAATAGCGAGACACTCACCGTCACTAGCTGTCAAGGTTCCTAGACGGGTATTACGAACGAGCCGTTAGCGACATCCACCAGGCGCACTTTGCTAAACGTTTAATTCATATTAAAATTCCTTTTCGTGACTTTTTTAACAAGATATTGGTGTGTTCGATGTGATACTGCTCCTTTGAAGACATATAGACCATAAAATAAGCACCGAAATTTCGTTGTAGTATCCCTTTAAGTGTCACTCATGATAGGCACTTGAAAGTTTTCATAGATACGAAGCGAATTATCTCAGTGTCAAAGTGCACAATGCCTCTAACACAAGCATTTTCCATTACAGAAGCCTATCTTGGGTGATATGGGAATGGGAAATACACACTCCTATCAAGAGTGACCTGCACAGGCCACAAATCAAGGATGTGGCACCGGTGCACACGTCATTTTTGGTCCGGAGTATCATGACTGCTGACACACTGAGTGCATCTATACCCTATTTCACCTTATGATGTACCGCTGGAAAGGCTACAAGCGTGAGCTCCTTGCTCTAGGGCACATCTCGGCGGCACATGCTCTCGTGAATTAGGGGCAAGTGCCAACGCTATGAGCTCGCACTCCTAGCCTTCGCTGCGGTACATAAGGTGAAACGGAGTATAGAGATACACCGGCCCCAAGATAGGTTTCAAGAAGCTCAATTCTATTAACCCCATTGTCAACATGACTCCTCCCCGGTTGGAGAACAGTTTGAAAGAACGAACAATTGCACAACAATAAATTGCATAAACTGCTTTTGCACACTTCCAGCAGTAACAGTTGGACCATTGAATTATATTCCTTGTTTCCTCAACGCTTTTATGTTTGCCCTGATCTTTTTACCCAAATCCCCTGACGAACTTGGGGAAAAAAAGAAATTGTCAGATTCGTGAATAACTAGAAAGGTAACACCTTATGGCCTCAAAACCAATAGGATATAAACGTGGAGCCTGCATGGGTACTTTAAAAGTACAGCTAGTTCAGGCCTTCTGAATATGCATGTAAAAAAAAAAAAAAGTGTGTAATAACACTTTTTACAGACTTCCCCCATTCTCACAACGGTTTGGCCAAGTTTCAGCTTTTCCAAATGACTTCAATTCCCGGACGATTTAAAACTTTTCACATAAAAAAAATTCAGATTTGGCATGTTTTGCTCAGTGTCAATGAATTTACCTACCAACCGAAGTATCACACAAAACAGCTGGCTCCATCAGTTACAAATTATTTAGAGGACTTTTTGCTTTCCTGCAAAGCTTTGTTGGCCCCATCTGTGCGAGAAACAAAGGAACCAGGAAGCCCCTTGAAGATGTGTTGACCCAAGAACAGTCCCCGCCACTCTTGCTCAGACACTTTGGATATAACTATCATAGTGCACAAGTGACTGCAACGAATAAAAACAGCTGGCTCTGTTAGATAAAACTTGCACAAAAAAACATTTTGTCTTCCTGTAGGGCCTTCGTTGAGCCCCACTTGTGCAAGAAGAAAAGAACCCAAAAAGCCCCCTGAAGATGTTGACAGTGCGACCCAAGACCATTCCCCGCTGCTTCCATTTAGACGTCTCTAGATATGACTATCGTCGCTCACAAAGTGATCGCAATGCGTCACTTCAGGAGTGCATGCCGTCGAACGCGTCAGAGAAAAACAGGCGTGCGTCACCCTGTTGTTTCCCTTTCTAGCAAGAGCGGCTATCAAACCCACCGCTTCAATTTCGTTGTCAGAGCAGCGGCAGAGAAGGCGTTGTAAATACACTCCTCTGACACATCCGATACAAGCTGTTTGCCCCAAGATAGCCCTCTACGATCATGTGGAGCCAGCCGTCTGGTCAAACGCAACGTGAAGCGAGCGAGGGCGGTCTAACCCCGATCACAAAGGCAGCATGCGTCTTCGGCGTGGCATAAACACTGCCTCTTATCGGCTCCGGGTAAGTGAGCCTCCAAAATGGTTCAAGACAAGTTCAAGTGGAGCTCTTAGACAGTAGTTTTTGGGGAAGCTCCCGGTGTCACCGATATGCCGATATGCAAGCCTCTGCATTAATGCAAACTTCCGTTCAATCAGTAATGGATAATGGTTTCTTGGCAGGACAACCCGAGTATGATTAGGAAGAGAAGAGAAATTTATCCAGCTCTTAGTCATGTGCGTGGAACATGAACGGGCCTTTTTGGTAAATGATAAAATTCCAGCCAAAATCAAACAAAATAAGTTCCACTTTTTACTTTGGTTAGTAGCATTTCATACATTGTTAAGAGGTTACGAATTTTAAAACACATTGTTCAGTGTCAAGCAAAAAAGAATGCAGTCCACAGAACATTGCAAATAGTTATGAAACAAAGTGATGCAGGTTACTCTGTTCGAGCTGAAAAATATCTCTTCCAAAAACAAGGGGAAGATTTTTTTTTTATTGCATTATGGAGTTTAAAGTTGATAAAAGAGAAAGTGTCAAGGCTCTTCAACTGATGCCCGCAACTGCAGCAAACATTAATAACATGGTGTTTAAGTCTGCAGTACACATGAGCCGGCATTTGAAAACTCAACTACATGAACATGCATCGCTATGCAATGTTTTTTAGTAGTATGTTGCAGTGATGCCAAGGCTACCTTGCACAAAAGAGTTAAAAGCTCGAGAGTTACACAAAAGCAAGATAATGCTGGCCAACAGTGCACAATCAACAAGCAGCAGTCGAGTCACCAAGCAAAAACGACATACAGACCTTATCCGCAGCAAACATAAGTGGAGCAAGCACTACAC